TCACTGAATATACTCACACCTTTCTCATGTTCTTCTAGTGCAGTTAGTGTAACCTTTTCCTACTTGTACAAACTAAAGTATTTGAGATGCCCTCTCCGTTGAGAACTGAAGCAGCAGGTTTACATTTAATCTGACATTTTGATATTAAAGGACAAAGTCAAAGCCACGGGCATCTGGATCCACAATGTCCTCTGCTTTTATTGTTTTCTGACCTTGCAAGGTCTCAAGATATCACACCAAGTTGAATCCTTATGCTTTTGGATTGCATGATAGCATATCTGGGATAACAATTGCACACAAAGAAATTCAAAAGAGGTTTTAATATGGTTAAGGTAGTTCTCCAATAAAAAAGAAATGGCAGTTTTATAATGCTTCAAAGCCTAAATATAATTGAGTTTCATGAGAGCAATAGAGGATATAATTGTTATAGCATACAAAATGCTTTTGCAGGTACCAAATCTGACACAATTGCATCAGGAATTGAAGGCCACAACCCTTTTCAAAGAGCCTGCCAGCTTGTTGCTTTAGTTGAGGGATTAATGAGGTTGCTTAAAACGCTAACCGTGGGTGCATAGACTGGCAATGCCCCATTATAATCCATTTAGCATGAAAGTCCCGATAGAGATGTAATTTATTTTAATTCACAAAGTTAACTGGTTTCATTCACCCTCATTAATTTAACCAACATATCTGATGGTTTGCATGCTGGCAGAGTGGTGGCAAAGTTTGATGTCACTGATTGATATGGTTCACGTACTGTAAGGTAGCACCACATTCGTTGCCCAGGATGTATTCAATGTCACCACAGTGGATCAACATGCGTCATGGTGCTGGAGTCTGTCCTGATGACTTCAGCTTCGAGGTTAATCAACTCAAAGGAAAGTATTTTTTTCAATCAATAATACATCAGCACAGTTAGTTCTAAATTGTATTTGCACCTGGGAGATAATTGAAGAAAGAACTTGCCTTATTGTTAAAGCACAACTAAAACTCTTCCTGTGTATCTCAGACAGAAGCAGACAGGCTTCAAGTGATTTCCTGACAGGTCAGTGAAACTGAAGAAAGAAGACCGAACAAAAGAAAAGGATTTTGGAAAGAGTGTGAGTGGGGATGACAGCATGGAGAAAAATAGACCACTGCTCAATAGGTGCCCTTAAAACACACACAGTACTCTCACTATGGAGACGATGAAATGTGTCACCAAATGTCCTTCATGGTGAAACTCAAGCAGCATGTTTAGTGCCAGCACTTTAACACAATTAATCAACTTTTTGTATGATCTCAAAAACAAGCAAAGAAGAACAGGCTACCTGACACTGACAATTGTTTAAATCAAATCTATAACCAACAATTACTGACCTGTAACACAGAATGCATGTTCAAAAACAGACAGTGTCAAAACTGAAACAACAGATTCACTGTTCATGTTTAATTCAACATGCTTGGCCTCAGGTATGAGTAAATTCACAGCTCCACTCTCTCCCCCTCTTACTCTCCTCTTGTCATCTTTTATTGATTTAGAAGTCAGATTACATTACCATGATATATGTGGGTGTGGACTGTGGAGGCATTATCTCCCAAACATCTGCAAGTATCTGGGGCAGTATTCAGAATGATGCAACCACATGCCCCCAAACCCATAATCAGTCTCACCATGCCCTGCATACCCAGCTGTTGCATGCCAGCCTAAGGCCATCTGCCCATGCATAATTCCCACAATCCTTATAGTTGGCTACACATACTGTACATGAACCGTGTGTTGTAGAATAATGTAAACCTGCAGGCTATGCATGATGGATCCATAGCTCATTGATTTCCCATTGAAGGCTACGAGAAGCAAAGCCCGGTCCATTAGTCACTGCATACATTTTGCACAACTGTCATGAGGTCATATTAATTTTATATTATTTCTGTCACTGACAAGCCCACTTGCTTTCTGTTATGTGTTGTGTCACACCAGTAAACTCAAGGAACTCTGCAGAAACGCAGGTAAGATGGCTATCTGAAAAACAGAGTCATTGTGATGGCTCAATATGTAAAGATATTCCTTAATGTAAAGCTACTTTATATAGATTTAAGTTCCAATGTTAACTTTTGATAAAAACTATCACTCAATGACCTTGAGAAGCATATTATAAAACAGTGAACGTCTCCTCTGTTGGTTTAATGTCGCTGATATTCTGCTGTTATGGTACAAAGACTTGAATAAAATGTAATTATAGACCATCTTCAATAAGGTAGTGGTGGTGGGGGGGATAATGTCCCACTACCTAAACTCCTTCTATAGTGCTGCCGATCAGACCGCATTCATCTTCAAACTCTGACCTAATTTCAATCTCGATAACACACCTGTAAAGTTTAACACAAAAATAAATGTGTGTAAACAGCCAAACTGAAGTATAAACACCTGACAAAAGTATTCAAAACAGCTCGTGTGGTACTTCCTGCTACATTACGACAGGTGTCCCCATGAGCACATTTTGGCATAATGACACACACTCATGACTCAGAAGTTGAAAGCAATGAAACAAAAAACTCCCGCTCCGTCTGGCATACTGCCGGTACATTTATTCATTTGTAACCTCTGCTGGACTCTGCAGGTTACACACTTTGAAACTGAAACACAACATGCCTACATTACTGCGTGCAATGCCTGAATTTCTTTTTCAAGGTCTGCAATTGCTGCACATTAAGGAAAGGAAATTACTTTCAGTTGTGCATGCCAAATAAATCTTAAACAAATATGTGCAAGGCAAGGCATGCAAGGCAAGTTTATTTATATAGCACCTTTCAACACAAGGCAATTTGAAGTGCTTTACAAAAATGGAAGACATTATGAAAATGGCATTTAAAATCAGTCATTAAAAAGAAAAGATAATAAAATAAACATTAAAAGAAAAAATACATGGATAAAAGTTAAAAGTTACAGTGCAGTTTAAGATGTGAATAGTTCAATTAAAAGCAGCGGCAAAAAGAAAAGTCTTCAGCCTGGATTTAAAAGTAGTCAGAGTTGCAGCGGACCTGCAGGTTTCTGGGAGTTTGTTCCAGATATTTGGAGCATAATAACTGAACGCTGCTTCTCCATGTTTAGTTCTGACTCTGGGGACAGAAAGCTGACCAGTCCCTGAAGACCTGAGAGTTCTGGATGGTTCATAATTTAGCAGGAGGTCAGACATGTATTTTGGGCCTAAACCATTCAAAGCTTTATAAACCAGCAGCAGTATTTTGAAATCTATTCTTTGACACACATGAAGCCAGTGTAAAGACTCCAGAACAGGAGTGATGTGATCCACTTTCTTAGTGTTAGTGAGGAGTAACAAGTGAGTGCAAGTGTTTAAGATCAGTATTGCTGGCTGGGAAGGTTGTGACTAAGGAAATCAGAGGTTAACTTAACGAGTAGTGGTAATGTGTGTGGCGCAGTGGATAGAGCCTTGGTGTTGGGATCAGGGGGTCACAGGTTCAAACCCCACTGCAGTCAGCATGTCATTGTGTCCCTGGGCAAGACACTTCACCCCAAATTGCTCCTGTGGGGATTGTATTGAGTATGTAAGTCGCTTTGGATAAAAGCGTCTAACAAGTAATGTGGCTGCTTGAGGGGAGAAACTTGTCTAGTCTGAGACGGACACACATCAGCTAAAAAGCGAAATCAAAAAAATTGTACCCCTTTAAAGAGGAAACACACTTTCAAAGTTCAATGGTATTATTTTCTTCTCAGACATTAGCGTACCGTAATACTACTGTTCATACTTTCAGACAGTGTAAATTATGCTCCCGACCTTAAATAGATTCAGACTTTCTGACCTCAACATTACTCAACCACAGGACGGTAATATGAAGAAGAAAAGAGCAGAAAGCTTGGCAGCTACAAACCGACATCCATCTTACCCACAATTTCTTTTGATCCTGCGGATGTGGCAATTATCCCCTGAACAGTCAGTATATTTAATTTGGGTTGCGTTGGGTGCACTGCTTCAAATAAATGGTGTTCTGCTAAATCAACTGGTGGAAAACGACTTCTGAAATTGTGCAGTGCGTCTCCTGCAGATTTGTGTGTGAGAACTACAGAGAGGTGTTGGATGTCTGTGGGTTTGGAGTTATGGCGGTATGATTGATTTTTATACACACCATCATGGGATTAAATTCCAAATGAAATGGGGTTCTGATGAGAGGTTTTTCTCCATTCCTCTACCTCTGGACAAAGGCCGACCTGAAACAGCTACGTTTTTATTCTCTGGTAGCTGGCAGCTATAATAGTTATGAATCTATAACAGGGACATGGACTTTAATGTGTTGTTATTTATTGTATGAAACGAAAACTGCTCCCAGGTGTTAACGAGATTCCTATCCCGTTTATAGGCATAATACTCAAATTTGAAAACAATTATTGTCAAAACAATCCGAATTTCACTTCCCCAATAAATGATGTCTGTCACACATCATAAGTTAAACATAAATCGTAATACTGCCTGATCCTAATGGTGACAGTATATAGCCCTTTAAATGGAGAAATTGCAGTGAGCCAGCAATCAAGAGAGCAATTTTATATCCCATCAAGCCTGATTTAAATTGCATTGGCCCTAAAGACTCGGTATGATTTCTATTCAAGCAAAGAATATAGTTCTCTGAGTTCATCATTTTTTCCTCCACTAATGAGTTAGTCATAACTCACAAGCAACTTGGATGCATATCAGAGGCAGACTTTGTGTAAGCTGGGCGCTCAACCTTTGCATAATGAGGACAATATCTATAGGAGGCAATCCTACGCCTGTCATCCCGCTGTCACACATGCAAACTGTGTGAGTTTTTAACACTTGAACAAAACTTGTCACGCTCCTTTAGTCACTGAGTTTTACCCGGGGAATCCCCAAACACTTTCTTGTCCGTTGGAGACAGCAGCCAATCGGGTCATTAAACTCGTTGATACGCTTCCATGGCAATGTTTTGACCTGAGCGTTGGGATACCTGCTGGCCTGCTACACATCGGCTGATAATGAGGAGGAAAAAGAGCTGAAGATGAGACGAGGGAATAAGGTGGAATAAGAAGTGAGGACAGGAGGAGGAGAGGATCCTGGAGAGATGAGCACAAGATGGAAGAAAAAAAACAGCGTGAAGAATCAGGGAAGAGGAGGGCAGACAGAACAAATGCCAGAGGGAGAGTGTTTATCTGCATGTCACACAGGGGAACGGGGGGGGGAGGTGATTAGGAAGACAAATCACTTCATTCACAAAACATGAGCTTTACAGAGACACATGCCAGCACAGAGCCATCAAACTGAAGTTGAATTGCCAGCTTGATAATCATGTAGACAACAGAATACTTTTGACTTGAGAAAATACTGAAATAACACCATATTCATTTTGCATCAGAATATAAACAAATAGTCTTCATTATTTAGTTTCCAAATAATTTAATCAATATAAACTGAGAAAAACTGATGTGCATTATTTTAGAATATGTATACTTTGTGGGAAAATCAGAACAAAATCAATCGTGCACAAACAAAACTCAGGTTCATTTAATGAGTCCAAGGGCATCAAGATGGCTTCAGAGCGATGCCATTATCTAGGAAGGCTTTAGATCCCTCAGATTTCCTTTCATCCCAGTTGATCCTCATATTGCTTACGGAAACAGTCTCCCACAGGGAAGAATTCCCAGCAACGCTCCTGGTACATCTTCCACACAAAGGATTCCTGGCAAAGACAACGTGGTCATTTATCCGCAAGTCATTAACTATGCCAAACTTTTCCATGCTTCAGTAAAATAACAATCTCAGCAGTGTCCAATTGTATTTCAAATTTAAGTTCCTCCAGCATCTCTGGCCCGACAGAGAAATATTTTCCACATTCCAACAAGCAGCTGCCTCTTTAATCTGCACCTGAGGAAAACATCATCTCTGAAAACACACAGTATATCTAGTGATGAGTCCCAGAACTCCATTTGGAAAGAGCCAACCCAGTCTCACGGCATTTCGTGTTATTAGTCACAAAATTAATTTTATCTATTGATTCGTGTTCACCAACACGATTTTCACATTGTTTTCGTGTCACACAGAACGATTTTAAAAGCAATGTATTTCTATTGGTAGTATGTTTCGTGCCTGCACCACGTCTTTTTGTCCGGTCGGGTCTTGGAATACCAGAAGCTGTGTGGTTCATAAAAACATGTTCTTACTCAATATCTTACCCTAAGCCTAACCCTATCCCTTTTATTTTAAATTGTATAATGTCTGAGTTTTTTTGCCGTCCACGAGGAAAAGAAATGGCTCAGAGCCTCAGAATACTGACATCTGTATTTTTTTCCTTCTAATTTGTTATTATTTGGTGCAGGCACGAAACATACTACCAATAGAAATACATTGCTTCTAAAATCGTTCTGTGTGAGAATACTGAAATCTGTATTTTCTTTTAATCTGTTTTTCCTTCTAATTTGCTATTATTTACATTGCTTTTAAAATAGTTCTGTATGACACGAAGAAAATGGTGAAATCGTGTTGGTGAACACGAATCAACAGATTCATTTCTTGACTATAACACGAAATGCCGTGAGACTGTGTTGAAAGAGCACACTGTTTAAGGCGGATAAAAAACTAATTCAATATTTGCTGCCTTTTATCAATCCTGCAGCATTACCTTCAAACTGCATTCTGTGCCTCAAAGATACATCCAAATAAAAATGGATTTCTAGCATTTGGATTTAAGCATTCCTCATCTATTCTGATTCACAACATATTCGTAGGTCTAGGTTTGCCACGTATGTGAAACAAGAGAAGAAGAGAAAAGGTATAGCTCTTTAAAATGAGCAGATTATTTTTCCTACACTGATTTACAAGACAGCATTAGTCTTTGCTCTTATAGTGAAAACACAAGACAAGTGATTTAAAATACTTCAAGTCCTCACCAACGCTGAGCTCTTTTAAGTCAAGGCTAAAAACACTACTTTTTACAGCTGCTTACCCAGAAGCCTTTTAACTTGTTTTAGCACCTCGTGTATTTACAATGTTGTTTTTGAACTATTCTGTATCTCTTTTATGCATGGTTTTTATGAATCTGTAATTCCATTATGTTTTATTTATTTTATTGTGTCTTATTATTAAGTGTTAATGATGAAGTAAAGCACTTGGAATTGCCTCTGTGTCAGAAAATGTGCTATATAAATAAACATACCTTACCTTGCGACTTGAAAACCCCCATTAATTCTTTATGTATTGCTGTCATACGGCAATGAGTAAAAGGGGAAATTATAATCATACTGTTACGTCTGCATGTACATTATCATAAAGTGTGCGTGTCAGGGCTGATAGAGCCTTTGAAGGACAGAATGAATACAGATTCTGTCTTAGTTGAAAAGGTTACACTACAGCTTTGTCATTACGATGGCGTGGGGAGGTATAAATAGGACGTTTGGTCATGGAGGAACCATTGTGGAAGGATATATGAAGTAATCTGACATTTGGCAATGACAGAAGAATTGTTTAATAGGTTTAAAATTGAACACCATGTTCTCACTTTGAATGGATCATGCAATAAAACATAAGAAGAAACTATTATACCTGCCCAGTGTGTTCAGTTTCATCCTTGTTAATGAGGTACATCAGAAAAAATCTGTAAGGACACAGAAGAGGAATTCATGTAGCGACTTACATACCTCCCACAGAGAGAAAGCTGTATCATTAAATAGAAAGCGTGAGCACATGTCAAGGGATAGTGGTGATTATGGAAACAGGTGTTATGGATTTTAACGGGTGCATTTTGAAAAACAAGGTATTTACTTGGAACATATTTGATGATAGACAAAAAGAATCAATTAATGATGATGTTTCAGTCTGCACAGCTATATAATGTCATCTTAAAATGTGGCGTGAAGGACCAACATGCATAAGTATGTAGACATGAGCAGAGAAACGTCCATCAGTGAGAGGAAGCAAGAGGAATCCATACTAATGAGGTTCAATAAACACTGCCAATGGTAATTACTGATGTGGCACCAGCAGCCTGTGCAACAACACCGTCCAAATAACATTTTTTTTTAACAATCCACACAGTGGAACATTTTTCATTAACTCTGTGATCAACTGTGCATCCACACAGGCAATGTATACATGGTCATGTTTATCAAATGGTATGAAACACATTACATTGTTTGTGATTAAAAAAACGTTATGGATCCTGCAAGATGTGTTGGTGTCATGTGATTGATTTGAATGTGTGAATAATGTTAAGCGTGTGTTGTATGAACATTTTAACTTCTGTAGAATGTCTTTACATTCTTGTGCAGTATGATTCTTACCTGCTTGTGTCTAAATATGTATGGCCCTGGATCTTCTTGACATTGTAAAGCACATACTACACATATGTGTGCCTTACCCTCAGTCTAAAACTTCTGGTTCTACTTGTTAGTTTTTTACCTGAATGGTGTTACGAACGTCATACCACATGTTGGCAAATTATTGATACAAAAGAAACAAGAAATCAAGTTGAATCTGAATTATGAATGCAGGTGCTGAGGGGTCTATTGGGGAAGGTAAACATAACACTGCCATTAATATTTTAAACCAACAACAGGCCTCAAGCAAAACAGATTAATAGACTCTGGGATAATTGTTTAAAGGGAAGACATGTTAAACTGCCAAGTCAATCTATCATGAATAACCAATGCAACACTGAAGGGGTTGTTATTTTCTAGTTTCTTATAAAGGTGAAGTGATGTTGCAGCATGCTCGAATAGCTCTGTTAAAGGTGAAATCACAAATGCCTGCGTCATCACATCAAGTCGTGAGTTTTAGTATTAATAAAATCATACGTTTGAGATATTAGCAGCTCGAGGCATTAAAGTAGTGAGCGTCAAATGAACTCACAGATAGTTTGCCAAGTTGTGCTCCTGCAGAGTGTGAATCTCAAAGCCATGAGGGACCGTATCAAAGTATTCATTTCCTATTCCACATATAAAGCACTTGGTCTGCAGGAGGAGAGACGTAAGACATGTAATGATTCATGAAACAGGCTCCAACAAACAAGATGCTACCTAGAGGACATTATAAACAATTATTAAGACAAGAGGCCTTTTGTTTAAGTGCTCTGTTACTAAAATGTGGCATTTAGTACGCTTTAGTGCTTTTGCTTTTTACAAACACACTCAGAGGACGCCTTCAAAAGGCAAAAGAGTGTACATAAGAGCAACTAAATACTCCCGGGAATACTAGCTGCCAAGTTTACATAAGACACAGAGGAACAAATATGCTGAGGATTAGCACCGTTTTGGGGTACTCAACAGGTTTTCCAGTATTTATTGTGATGTTTTATGGAGGGAAATTACAGAGTAACAATTGGATTAATGCAATATGTATTTTGGGGGAGACCTATTTAGAACTGCATAATTATGGGAAGATGGCAGTAGCGGCTAAAACTGAATCACTATTGCCCACTGCAGCAGAGTGAATTGTGTGTAAATGAAACAGTGACAGACAATATTACAGCTGCTTTTCACAGATGTTTGTGTTTTCGTAATCGTGTGCACACAGAGGTATCACTTCACACACAGTCAAACTTAGCTCAGCTTGATTGGCTACTAGTAAAAAGCATCTGTGTGTGAGAGAAAGTGTCTCACCTCCATATCCTCTTTCACCTGCTCCTGCTGGTCACGAAGCTCCCCAAAGGCATCAATTATCAAGCCTGAAAAAAACACAATAGTCTGTCTGTGTTTATGTTTGTACATAGGTATGCAACGCTGACTCTGAATGCAAGGACTCAGTGGAATAAAAAGATACTTTGTTTCCAATCCTGCATGAAATATTCATCAGCTGAGCTGCATCTGTGAAGCAAATTTGGCGTGTTTGACTGACCCTGGATGATGGCCAAGAGGATGACGATGACGAAGAAGAAGAAGGTGATGTCAAAGAAGATGCGCTCCACCTCAAAGTCGTCTCCAGCCGGATCCTCGATCTCATCACCGATTCCCCCGCCAGCACGCACTCCAACATACATGTGGAACATGTAACACTGAAAGAACATGTATTTATATGTGTAATATATACGTAGCTGTTAAATCCTTAGAACTGTTACAAGGTGTGTATTTTGTATTTTGTAAATTGTGTAACTTGCTGCTGTTAAATACCAACCACCTACTGTATGTGCAATATGTGCAATATATATAGATGCCGTTAATAACTGTGTAATATATACCTGGCTGCTAAATCCTAAGAACTGTTACAGGATGTGTATTTTTTTTTAATTATGTAACTTTTTATTTTCTTTTATATATTTTTGTATTATATCATAACTTAGTACTTTTTTTTTTTAAATGCATGTCACATATTTTATTAACACATGTAACATTAAGCTGTCTGTGGCTCTTTTTCCTGCTGTAACTACGCACATGTCCCCTCCGTGGGACTAATAAAGGTATTCTGATTCTGATTATTTCATGTATTGTAAAGTATGCTTTCCACTTTAGGGTGAGGGCACTTTTTCACTGGCTGTCCACTGTTTGACAAAGGTAGGAGGTAAAGGAGAACATTTTAAGGATCTACCAAGGACAAGAGTCTTGTTTCTCGGAACCCCAAATACATGACTGTTTGTTGAAAACTCAAGCTGCACAACAAGAATATATTCAATTCAGTCTCTGAGCTCGTTGCTTATGTGAAGGCTTTTAAAAGAATCAAACGGCCAGCAAAAACAATTTCACAGAATAATAGTTTTTGGTTTCAAAACATTGTTTGTCTCAGATTTCATTTCCCCTCAAGGACTTTATGTATGTATGGATGAGGCAAGAAGAATTCACATGCAATGTATCGAGCAAGAACTGTAGAGTGCTTTTTCTTTTTGAAGGGTCAGGGATTATTTTTCCAAAGTTCAAAGATAAATTGAAACTGGCAGGGCTTTTTGTCTTAGTTCAGAGGGAGACTTCACAGAAAAGAGTGACGAGTTTTCGGCTTTTTCTGACATTTTGCATTGTATCTCAAATTGCATAAAATGTTTAATGTGAGCGTGACTGAGGATTGTACTTTATACCCCGAATACTATTACCTTTTTTTTTTCAAACTGCCACCCATCCGTCTTATTTGTTGAGTGACAGTGGAGTCCGCATTAAAATAGAGACGGCGATGGGGTGTAAATGTAGCGAATAGCCAAACAAGTGCAGAGGCTTGAGGGGATGTTTTTTCTATCCATGCGTCTGTCATTTTATGGAAAAGTTGTGGAAGAAATAAAACAAAAGGCTCTTCTTGATTCAACAATCCTCCTCTACCCCTATCGATCTAAAGAGGTGAAAATGAAGTGTGTGGCTGTGTTTGTTTGAATGATAAACATAGAGAGGATATATGGAGACATATGTGGAGAGACAGACTGCTTTGTGTGCTTGTGTGTGTTATGATATGCACATTAAACTTACAGTAAGCATGTCATTGCACTTCATATCTTGGGTGTTCTTGTCGTCACTCTTGTCATAAAACTTCCTGAAGAAGTTGAAGGCCACAACGGTGTAGAGATACACCACAACAGCCAACAGGCCCACAGTGAGGGCCAACTGAGAGACACACACATTATTACAAAAGGGATCGACAGAGGCAGATGGGCTTTAATACTCTTCTTCAGCTTGGAAAAGTCCCAATATAACCTTACAGCGTGAAAGCAAACAGCACATGCATGCACACTGCACATATGAGCACACATGAACACAGATGGATGGAGAATTAAAGACAGACTGACAAAGGCGCACACACACCTGTTTCCCATTGTGTGTGACAGAAGTTAGAATGGTGCGGAGAGTCTTAAAGCCCATGGCGATGTCCAGAAGATGGGCAGCAAAGAAGAAGTTGTTATAATGACCCAGAACGGACATGGCCATGTACCAGGCCAGGTACAAGAAGGACTGTGAGCACACACAAACACAGAAGGACATGCACACATAAAAAAGGCAATATAGATTACACCGGAGAGATAGAGAGACAAATGTGTATTTTAGATAAGGGGGAATCACAGGATATTACCTTCGTCCCTTCTGCAGCATGTGCAATTGTATCAAACAAAATCTTAGCACAGTAGATGAGATTAAACAAATGTGGGACCCGTCATAAAATATTCAATATGTTTAAACCACACTTCTCGGTTTTATGACATTATCTGTTGAAATAATTTGCAGGAAGTGACACCTTTATCTTTGCTTTGTAGGAACGATGAGGAACACAACCGACCAAAAGCCATAAAATATTAGAAAGGTCTGAGCTTACATTATCAGTGAACACAACGCCCAGTTTCCAGACCTGGTACTTCATGTCAATGGACTTGAGTCTGAAATAAACAACATCATCACAGATGTAAGGTAAGAACCTGAAAAACATGTCCATCACTCAAAATCAGACCCTTGTTACTACAGTGTCCTTTCTAAAAGCACCCGTCTGTTACGTGGCTTGATTTCAGAACGTCCTGTGCTTCCTCAAGTGCAACAAAATGTTCCAGGACCTTCTTTTGTCCGGTGACCCGTTGGGTAACATGCACATACTGTACTAAGAAAACATGCGCACAGTATTATTACAAAGGCTTTTTAAAATGGCAAAAGTTTTTAATACTGACAGTGTACTTACTGCAATAATTAAGCCCGTCGTGTTAATGTTAATCACAAGGGTCACATTCACTTTAATGTATCATGCATCAGCAAAAGAGCTGTACCGATTTTCTTACTTGAACATTTAAATATATACATATTTATATCAATTGCAGGTTTTCTGAATGCAAATAGTATAGTTCAATCTTTGCTACAGAGAAGGACGCTGCATTGCTATCATCATTGCCGGCTGCTTTGTGATGAGTCACCTGCTTAAATGCATTCTAGGATACCTATCAAAGGCAATAATTATCTATTATTTATCTACTACACCTAAATGAAAAAAACACGATTATTTGAAAACCTTGTCCTTCTGATAAGTTATGCCTCGGTTTTTGCTTGTTTATGTTTGTCATACACTATTTGAAATACAGTTTGAAACTGAAACTGCACACAATGCAAAATAAATAAGTAGATCGCTGCAGTTTCTCATGATTCCCTTTAAGAATGCAAGATGGCAAGGACTTGTTTTTCTACTCACAGAGCACTCCAGGAAGCTTCTCTCTTGAGCCTCCTGCTTTCTTTACTCTCAGAACTGAAGTCTAATGCAGCTTGGTCCAGACCTAGCAGTTCACTTATTTTCTCACAGCCATAGAAGTCCCCATACTTATCCATCACCTGACGGAACAAGAAGACAGGATTATATAAAACAACAGTCTGTGCCTTTTCATCTGAACATCGATGGAAAGAGGCAGAATTCTTGTGCAGTCGGTGCCGTAATGAGGTGGCAGCTTAGATCTGTTATATGATATAATGGTGCTGCTTAGGTTAGCTCCTGAACAGTTACAGTGAGGATTTTATGATACATGTGTTGCAAATTGCATGTTGGTTGTCAAATGATGAAAAGTAACTCTGGTCTGTGTTATTTGTATTTGGTGCCAATCAAAGTCTAGTTCTATTTTAGAGCCATTTTCTTATTACAAACAAAGCTCTAATGTGTATGGTAAGCATTATCTACAAAAGCATCTGCTAGTGCAATCAAAAGAGCACGAGCAGAAACATTTGAAGATTGAGACGGAATATGTTTCTTTGCAGATTTGGGAAGACTTTTGGTTTGATGTTTACTGCATAGGATAACTACTAAAACCAGAACAGAATTGTTCTTCAATTTTACATGCCTAATCTGTTTTTTACTAAAGTATATTATCTTAATTTTCTCCCTAAATGTTGTTAAAAGTTCCAAGTGATCTAAATAAGGAGAACATGTTTTCTTGAAGCAAATAATATTATGAATGACAATCATTGCCTTGTCTCTGGAGGCAGTGACGCTGTTGTGGTAACTGACGGGGGAATAATTACCCCTGCCATTTAATGGATCATTACATTTCATTTAGTTTTAATGAAGTGTCACCGAGTGAAATATGCAAACAATTACATACATCCATAAGCACATTAAGGATATCATGTTTTGATGTGCAAAATCAAAGTTGCATTACTCTTAAGACCTTACCTTCCTCTTAACAAATTTATCCCAGTAATTACTTGGAAATGATCTGAAAAGACAAACGTATAGAATAAAACTTTCTGCTAAGTGTAACATTTCTGTACAACTTGTACTGACTGTAAATCAGTGCCAACAGCGAGTTTCTGAAGCTCAAGGCATAAATCAAGTTTAATGTTAATATGATATCAGCCCAGTTGATGTTATGGCTGTGAACATACGGTGAGTTTATGACCAGTCGGTCCCATTGCCCTTTGATGTCCTCCTCAGGAGGCTGCTCCGTCACATACAGCCCGTCAAACTCCAGCTTCCGCGCCACCTCCTTCTCCCGTTTGAAGATCACCAACGGTACCTGCCAACCAAAGCACCGCAGTGTTCACTCTACTCTTTACATAAACAGCACAATGTGGAGAAGGCTTAATCTTTGTAGGCAATGTGCTTTATTATCAACTATTTTGCGGATTAAAAATATACCCTTGGTAAATATGATGGAGAGAAACTGATTTGAAAAAGTGAAATGAGTGTAGACTAAATCAGCAAAGTACATGCTTGAGCCGCTCTACCTTGAGGCAGTTGTACCCGATGATACAACAGAAGGAGATGATTGTGTGAGCGACAGCCAGGAAAAGTAGTGATGGCTCCATGTACCCACTGCTCTCCTCCAGCACAAAATAATCTCTGCCCTCGTTGTCATCATCATCATCATCAGCAGAGTCCAATCCCTCGCTGCTATCAGACGTGACCACTCCTTCCTCTTTTTGTGATGCAGGCAAAGAGGCTACCTGGTAAGACCAAAGACATCCAAGCATTTGTAGAAACATGTACTTAAATATGAAATGTAACAGTATATTGTTATGCAGAAAAAAAGTACCCAAACATACATTGTATTAAAGGTCACCTATCATGCTATTTTTAGGCAATAGCATAGGTCTCAGATATATAAAAAAGATATAAAAAACATGTCTATGAAGTGTTTTGCTCAAAATACCAAACAGATCACCCATTCTAGCCATGCCTCATATCCCTCTATTTCACTTCCTGTTTCAAAAGTGCTGATTTGGGGTATAAACCTTAAAAAAAAAAAAAAAAAGAAATGGATAAAAAAAAAAAAGTAGGGGGCTGAGCTCATGCGGGACCCGGCAGCTACTGTCTAAACTAAATACTGCCGTGATGAAACGCCATATCATGGATTATCAAGGATTATTTCTGAAACAGTATGGAGCTCAAAGGCTTTCTCTCTTGCCGGTTATACCACAAGGTGAGTTCCTTTTTATTTCCTGCTTCTTCACACACATGCTCTGTGCAGTACAGGTTAGCTCTGAGTGTTAGCGATGCTAATGTAAACATGCACCGACCATATTACGTCCAAAACAGTCGGGCATTGTTTCTGATAGCAACGTTTCTGATAGGGCCGTGGGTGTAAAGCCAGCCTACATTTCTGATATTACGTCATATCGGACGCAAATCTGGATCAGCTCCGTTGTAGCCCCGTTTTTAGAGATTTGGGTACGGAGGAAAAGAGAGAGGGTTTTATTTTCTGACGCTGCGTGAGTTCCCTGACACACCGGGGACACATATTTATGTATAAAAGACATCAAAAAGTGCATTTTGCATGATAGGTCCCCTTTAAGAGATTTGTAATATGCGTGTACTCACTATAGAAACTTGTAAATAAAGCTATCAAGAAAATGTAGTGAAGTTAAAGTGCAATTCTTCTCAAAGTTTGGAAATAAATACCGCTTTGAATCACTTTCTAAATTGAAAATCACTGCAAATGTTATTGCTTGTTATGTCTATAATTTCTCTTACCTTGTAGAACAGGAGGATGAAGTTGATTGCAAAGGCGACAAAGAGAGCCAGTAAGCGCATATTATAAAAATTCCTTGCAAAGTAATTCTGGAAAAAAGGTTTAGGAAATTAGATGCTTTCTGCGTTTACAAGTATGCCGGTACATACTTAAGTGTGCGTCTTCATCAGTGTAGTGAAGATAAGCATGTTGAAGTGTATTTGTATTTTACCTGCAGGCTCTTGTTATGAGTGCTTATCGTCTCCCAGAGGGCAGAGTGTTGGCTCTCTGGTTCCTCGAACTTATCAGAGCATCGCTTTGCTTTCCAGTCTGCTTTCTGTTTCACAGTTTTCTTCTCAGTTACCTTCCCTCTGCAAATACAATCACACACAGAATAAGGGGCAAAGGTCTCTAAAGATGAAATCCAACCTTGACTTTATTAATTTTTGTATTTAGTGATATAGGAGTTACAAGACAAGTGCATACACGTACAATGTCGCATATACACAGAAGACAATAAGGAGCATTTACAAGTATAGAAGACAAATAACTAAATATACAGTGTGTGTGTGTGTGTGTGTGTGTGTGTGTGTGTGTGTGTGTTTGAGGTATTAGACAAAAAGAGAGTAGTAAATGACAAAATTATAATTAAAATGAAATGAGTAACAATATAATAGTCATATATCCTAGGAAGGGGGGGGCATATAAATAGTAGCATGACCTTAAAGAAGTAGAAAGGGGTGGTGGCTGGCATTGGATTGAGGATTATTAATTACATTTATCAATGAATGGGTTCCAGATTGCATCAATATCATCGGTTTGTTTTTTTATGCCGGCAGATAATGTTTCCATTGAAATGTATTCTATAAGCAGGTTTTTCCAAATTGTGATATTGCTTTCGTGTCGTGATTTCCAAAGTGTCGCTTTTATTGGTTTCAGTATACAATGCACTACTATCAAGTGCATTGCAATGTTACGGCCCGTCCACATGGCGGCGTGCGTTGAAGCTTCAACGCTTCTGCCCATTCACTTTGAACGGGGTGACGTCACGCTTTGCCGAACTGCGTTGCGGTTCCGTCGCTTCGCTTTGCTCGCTTCAAAAGTTGAGCAATGTTCAACTTTTGAAGCTTCGACGGAAGCGTCAGCCAATCAAATCATATGCCAGTACAAGCTCTAGCCAATCAAACCGCGTGCTTGTGTGTCCGGGGCGGGAGATTCAGGTGATTGGTTGTTGGTCGAGTTTCAGACACGCCCGCCGGCAAGCTTCAACGCATGCCGCCGTGTGGACGCTGCGTTACACAAGCTACTGTAATTATTCATTGTTTCATAACTTTATTCCCTTCTTTCTTTTTATTAATGTTTATGTATGTGTGATGTCTTACTTTTTGATGGCTTTACTGTTTGGATTTGTTATTCTGTCAAAACTCTTTGTAAATTCATTTTTTAGAGAGCACATAAACAAAGTTATTTTTCTTATAAGGAGGAGGTAAAATCCCTCTTTGAGGATTTAATTAGGAAGCAAAAGACTCACCCTGCGTTCACTAATCCAGGCGTTGTCTGATCTTCAGTTTTTTCCTCTGTGGCAGTCTGAGCCTTATGTTGCTGTCAGTAAAATGTATGAAGAAATCATTCAGTCCAACACCAAAGAGATACAAAATGTATACAAATAAACAAAACATGCAAGAAATATTTTTTCTTAAAGTGCCTTGTTTCTAAAGATATAAATGAATTCATACCGTCCCCTGATGCTTCTCAGAAGTATCGGCAGTGGTAATTGTTTTGGAGGTTGTCCCACTGGCAGAGAGGTCTTGTGTTATAAGTCTGTATTGACCCCCGTCCTTCTTCATTTTGAGGCCAAATATGTCTGAGAGTACATCCACCTCCATGGGAGAGGTCACAGCTGCCACATGCCCCATCTCCCTCAATTCTCTCTGGGAAGAGAAACTGGCAGAGTACTTCCTCGGCCGATCCACTCCACTTGGCAGCTCCATGACCTCATCAAGAGTTGGCTCGATGATACCACCGAACAAATCGGAAATCCTCATCCTTTTGGCTCCCTCTACGAGCCCACCACTGACAAAAGCTATGTACAGCACATATAAGATGCCCTGAACTACAACACACATACACCGGGCCTGAGCCATGACAATGAATCTGAGGAGGAACACAGCCGACATGAGCATATCCTTCAGTGTCATCCTCATCAATGTCTTCAAGTTTTTAACAGAAAGTATAGATATCAGCAAAAACAACCATTGATACACGAAAAACCTTCCTTTATCGTCCAGATTGTCACTCTTTTCCTCTTCTCCTTTGTCTGCGTGCCTCTCTCCAGAGTCAGAGTCAGATATCTGGGCTGCGAGCTGCATCTCAAAGATGGTGTCCTCACAGAAATTGACAAACATCTCCATTTTCTCCTTCTCTCCACCCTCATTGACCACATCAAAAATGAACTGCCTCTTGGACTCTTTGACTTGGGGCTTCTCCCATTGTGTGCGGCTGGCTTCGCTAATCTCAAAGTACACGCGTTCAATGCGCTTCCCACTGCCGAGGATCTCAATACGACCTAGGTAGGGCTGGAAGTACGACAAGACACACTCTGCCAGCTCCATGAATGTCACAAGCCTCGAGTCGTTGGGCATGTGTTCGGACAAATTGGTGAGAAGAACAGCGAGGCTAAAGCCGATGTCTTTGGCTGGCTCGTGGAAGCGATCCACAAAGGCCTCATAATCCACGATTTCACTATCGTCAGTCTTCATGCATGAGAGGAGGAAGGGAATCTCGGCCTGGGAGAAACGCTTGCAATTCTCCATGGCTTTCTGGAAGTCCTTTCTGGAGATGCAGCCCTTACACTCAGGGTCGAACTCTTTGAAGGTATCGGAGGAGGTGAGGTCTTTAAGTTTGAGGAACATGTCGAAAAACTTTAGGATCATCTCCACATTGCCTGCGGATTCAACCAACATATCCACCATCTGCTTTCCAATAGTGCCATTAACGACGGTACCTGCAGCGAAGAGGGAAAAGAGAAATAACATTCTGGATTAATGATAACTGGTAAACCATTTATGATCATTAATTCTGAATAAAGCAATAAAATAAGTGGAAATCTTGCCTTCTAACATAGAAAGCAGGAAAACAACCATGTCCTTTTGTAAATCCATGAGTTCTTTCAGGAGCTCAATTTGCCGCGAATCCTATTAGAAAATATATTGAGAATTACATATTTAGCAAAAAGAAGCAAAGCAATTTCAAATCTTGACGTTTTACATATTGACATACAGAATATCAGAGGCAGCTGACAAAGAGCAACAACAGATTAACTGTAAATGCTTTTTTTAATAACATTGCCAGCAGCCTAAAATAAGAACTAGTGTGGAAGAAACCCTGCAGCAGACCATCACTTCGATGATTAACAGTGTTATGTATGCAGAATTGTAATGTGCTGTACCTGAGAGAGCTTCATCTGCATGTGGGCAAAGACGTGGAGGAAACCTACGACAGCGTCCCACAGGCGGCTGTGAGCCAGGCTCTGTTGGTTCCCAGCACACGGGCCCTGTTTGAACACAATAATAATGTGAGCTGCATCTTTTAAAGAAACATCTCACCTCATTGTCAAATAGATGTTGGTAGGAGCTCACATGATCAAAGTCAACTTTAATGTCCATCTTTTGTGTTTGTGTGTACAGACAGAGAGATCGAAATAACGTTTCCAACAATCCTGAATACAAATATATATCAAATATGTATATCCTATATATATATACACAATCAACAGACACATTTACACATATGCACACATTAAGATAAAAACATAACAATCAATATATACAAAATAACAGTCACTTCAATATCTTTGGGATTGTACATTAGTGCAAGATTGTGCATTAAACATGTTTTGACACAATAACACGTCATGTAAACTGACCTGTATGTACTCTGTGAGTGTGTTGAAGACCTGTTTGGCCACTTCAATGGCCTTGGAGAAATTCTGTTGTCCGTGTAGATCAATAACATCTTTCCCTGAGTAGTACCAGTAGAAGTCACTGATAGACTCCTACAGTTTGGCAGGGACAAATATGTGTTGTTCATGCGTTAAATAAACCATTATTTTTAAGAAAAAAATATCTTATTGAGATCATTATTAAATATGTTGCAATAGAACTTAATGATCAATTAATTTATATATGGTTGATTTGGTAGGAACAGTTCAAATATACATAGACAATCTGAATGTGAATACAGGTATCATGGTGTTAATATCTGCTCCAGGTTTACAACACTCTCTTGAAGGGCTGAATACAACTTAATAAAGTGAGATACAAAAGACCACATTAAAAAATCTATTGAAGTTAAAACTAGACACGTGTACAGGTTTGTTGCTGGATTTGTGGTAGCTTTCTTGTTAAGTTGTGAAAACAATTTGCGGTTGGATAATGGAATAGGGAGTAACGGGCTTTTTTTTTTCCTCTCAAAGAAAAAGCAGGCTGAACAAAAGATGTTTTGCAGAATGAAGCCTTTCAATTAACACTTGAAGCTACTCTGGCAGATCTGAAGCCCTGCAATTTCTTGACGTGATGCAGAAAGGCAGAGGAGAAAGTCCAATTAAACATTTGAACACAAGCTCTACATAACAACGCAATACAGTTTGGAAAAATAACTTGTATTTACTTAAATTGCACCAATGAGTGTTCATTATTTGCACTTTATGGATTGAATCACAAACTGGCCATCCTGGGCCCTAATGTAATTAACAATCACAACACACTGTTCACAACGCTTGAAATCGGAATCAAACTATGTAAATGACCATTTTCCAGGAAATCTGGGAACACTGTGACTGTATACACTCAGTGTACACTGTGAGGAGGCATGTGGCGCAGTGGATTAGTGCGTTGGTGATCAGGGTTAAACAGGTTCAAACCCCACTGCAGTCAGCATGTCGTTGTGTCCCTGGGCAAGACACTTCACCCCAAATTGCTCCTGTGGGGATTGTCCACAGTATTGAATGTATGTAAGTCGCTTTGGATAAAAGCGTCTAACAAGTAACATGTAATGTATATATCCTTTATCAAGTGACTGTTTAATGTGTTCCCATAGTTAACAAGTAGCTGACGATGTGGTATGGTTGTATCTGAAACCGAACTATTAAAGGTTCAAATAATAAGGTTGTTTTCCAAGTAATGTAGCAGGTGTTCTTCTGAAACAACCTTTTCCAGCACTTTGAGACAGGCCTAGAAGAAGAAAAACTGGTCTATATTTAGTATCTCCTTCTTCAGTGTCACTGGGTTTTAATAATCATTAGCAGGCACTTAAAAGCATACTTGATCTGATGACAATTGAACCTGTATTCACAAAGTAGGTACCCTAATACAGGTTTGCAGTACTGATTAAACCACCATGGTCCTACACATATTTCTAAGGGATGACTAGACCGTTAGTATACTAGCAAGGTTTGGTTATTTAGCTCTTGCTGTAAACTTACCTGAACTCTCAGTAAATAGTCCACAGTTGTTATTATGATGTTGACAGTGGTGTTGTTGCCGGTTTGAGTTCTCAAGTAATTCTGGAAATCTAACACATCAAAAAGTAAGAGCATGCTCAAAAGAATGTAAAAGTGCATTGCAATGAAATTCATCCGGTGTAGACAATGCAATTAGACACTGCTGTCAACTAGAGCACAGCTAATGTGTTGTGCAGCAATTATGAATCAGCGCTTGACTCTTATTAACATAACTTTGAAGGAACATCAAGGTGAAAAAAATCAACAACCCAAGTTATCTTTCTTCTGTGTTACAGTGTGGTGCTTTTCATAGACAACAATATAATCGATGTGAACTTTATAACAGTGTGACGTGTGTAAATGGATACAGCATGGTGCAAATAACCTGAGTTGTGTCCTTCACAGAGCAGCTGCAGAAATCGGAACAGATCACAGGTTAAATCTTTGTCAGGCATCACCTTGTCTCCTGGGAAAAAGATGGAGCAAGAAATAAAAGGAATGTAGGAAATGTACGACGGAAGAAAGAGAGAAGAATTTAGAAACAAAAATCAGGTCACAATGGAGTGACACTGAGACTTAGGCAGAAAGAAATAGGATTTGTGAGTGTGAATTTAGAGTATTTTAAAGTCCTGGGATCACACAGCTGGGTCTCTTGCTATGACATGGCTTCATAGAAACTGATTTCTTTTTCATTTCCATATGAATACAGTACCTGAGCTCTCGTCCATGGCCATGCCTAATCCTTCTGCTTTGTTCTGCCTCTCAAATGCATTTAGATCCAGAACGCTGGATAGCCGAAAGAAAGGGGTTTCAAAAAAGAGCTTTTACACTCTTTGTCATAGTCATCAATCAATACATAAACACTGAAAGCCTTTGTGACATTTTACATGGCCTGTCATAGGATTTTCCGACCAACACTCACCTACATGACCGCATGAGTCCAGCCATGCTCTGGAAGAATCCAACGTCTTGCTTGTCTCTCAGATAATCCAGCATTTTCTATCACACAAAAGCAATCAAAGACAAGGTCTACAAAATGGACGAGGATCTCATCTACAGCAGATATGATTAAGTTACAATTGTTTTTGTATTACTGCGAGCTTTGCTGCAGTGACTCTGTGTCAAGGCATCATGTTCAGAAGAAGACAGAGAATATGAAATGGATTTGTTCTGAAAAGATAAAACTGAACATGTTGAAGCTGAACAAAAACACCAGTGTAGGAATAATCAAGGTCCTCGATGTCAGTGATGAGCTCTGTAGATGGTTACCGTGCGTCATTGTAATATGAAAACTTCCATTTATATTCATGAAAAATATTGAGTTTGTCATACCGCTGCGACTTCAGAAACCAACATCATCTGTGTTAATTATACAAATATTTAAGTTTCATGAAATGTGATTCTAGTTCCTACATGAGAGGTAGAAATGACAAATATCAGAGTCATGAATATGCTAAATGCAGCATTGTACCTGTTGAACAGCGGCATTCCCTCCATTGAGAACAGCAATACCCAGCTTCAGTGTAGGAGCAATCATGGAGCCCATCTCCCCTGATGAGATGTGAAATGTATTACAGTCAGTGGATGTAAATAAATGACTTTATAGCCCCCCAACTAAAGCAAAAATACTTACCCATTCGTGAGTATTTTCTTTAAGAACTATAACAATTGTAAATCATTTATCATAATTTAGATCCCCTATTATACTGTTTTTTATCTATGTATTACAGGTCTCAGATATATACAAAACATGTCTCTGAAGTCTTTGGCTCCAAACACCAAACAGATCATTGCAGCATCCCATAATCCCCTCTGTTTCAGCCCTGTTTCAAAAGTGCTGATGCTCCGTCTGTTGCTTTGGATGAAAATAAGGAGCCACTCCCCACGCCCCTCTGAGAGATATTTGGTTCAAAATAACACAATAGCCGCGTTCACACCGGAGTACTTTTCCCCGTACTTTTCGCGTTTAGTTCCGTTAGTACCCCTTATGTCGCGTTCACACCAAAAAGAATACTTAGTGCCGGGAACTTTTACCCCCATTTTTAGTGCCTGCTGAGAGATGGTACTTTCCTGGGGGAAAAAAGTGCCCCAGTTCTGATTGGCTGGGCGAATTGCAAACCACGCCCCGTAAAACTCTGAAATGTTTTGTAGAGCCGCCATTTTATTATCCTCGCATTAGCATTATTAGCATTAGCATTCGCCCAGTGCACAAACGCAGAGAGACTAACTTATGGCAACACAAAATAAAACATGGGAGCGGTGGAGATGAGGAGGTGTCGGCGTTCTGGCGATTTACTCGGAAGGCTTCAGTAGAAGCTGCTGGGAGTCCCAGCAGCTTCTACTGCTATTGGTGCTCTAGGAGGAGATTCAGGTGATAAGGTGGGGGGGGGGGGGGGTTACCTTGGTTGGTGATTGGCTAATGGTTACACAAGCCAAAACATCGTTATGACATCACAAAGTGGCCAAAATCAGCTCGTTTTCAGACAGGTTTTTTTATAAATGGATCAGGACAAAAAGAGAGGGGGTCTTTGTTCCTGAAACGTTCAGAATCTCTTTACACAGAGGGGACACATGTTGATGTATAAAAGACGTGAAAAAGTGGATTTTGCATAATAGGTGACCTTTAACATGTTCCAACCTTTGCTGGCACTGATGGTTTGCAGGAGCATCTCAGAAGCTCCACGGCGGTGCAGCCGGGCCTGCTGGTACAGCAACTTCTGCTTCTCCATCTCTTTCTCCTGAGCCACAGAAACATCATTGTATCTCAATTACTGTTTTACATTTAAAAAAAAAAAAAAAATACTATAAACTGTTCATATCTTATAAAATGGTCAAATAAATAAATACATTTTTGTTGATTGAATACAACCTAAATGTCAATTTGATTTAATAGAAGGAAAAAAAAGTGTCCATTCTCTCACTTCAAAGCTTTCCACTTCCTGTTCTTCCTCATCATCGTCCTCTCTGTGGCAGCTCTGCAAGATCAAACATATGAAGCAGAGTGGAGATAATAAAAGAATTAGAAAATACATCTACATAGAAGAGGTACAAAGCGTACGAACTCGCTTCTTTTGTTATATATTGCAGGTGGCAAGCACAAAGACATGAAAAGATGAGAGTGAAATGCAAGATTTTGACATAATCATATACATTAAGATACAACAAATGAGATCTGTTATATTACCTTGGCCATAATAGCAGCGTAGGACTTATAGAGGCCGTCATTTCCAAGCTTACTGCGAACAAAGACAACAAATAAGATAATATTAGTCTTTATCTTGCTATAAAGCAATATAGAAAGTGGCTGTTAAATGACAGGGTCAAGGTCAATGTGTAGCGGATCGTCACCTGATCCATTCACAATGGTTCAAACTGATCATGTTGAGTTGAAGCAGCACCAACTTGAAGTAGTGTGTGGATCTAGAGCAGTGTTTCTCAAACTTTTTCATACCAAGGACCACCAATAAAAAAACACTCGCGGACCACCTAACTCCACAAATATCCCAAAACAATAGGCCTGCTTACCACTCCAACAGTATATCATAAATGACAGCCTAATAATGACAGTTTAACCTTCTCTATATCGCCTCGTTCACACATTAAATCAACAATACAAACACCGCGGACCACACTTTGAGAAGCACTGATCTAGAAGTTGATCATTTTATTCACAAATCTACACTGTGGTATTATACTTTTTAATTGACCATACCCAAACACCATAAACCTGGCTGATTTGATCACATCTCTGCACCCACTCGAATGTCTTCAGTGTGACGTGGAGGGAAATGTTCATTTAATATTATGCACTCAGGCGGCAAGTGCGTCTCTGTAGGAATATCATGAGACTATGAGAGCAACGTCTCAATGGGATTGGGGGACCAAATGATGCGTGACTAAGAGCACCACAGGACATTTCTACAAAGAATTAACATATTTCACATTGCAGGTTTTTGGAAAGCAACTGCCACAGAAATGTGTCCGGAAAAAAGAACCCTTCTGAAGTATCTAATATTGACCTTCTAGGTGATGGGTTGGACCGGAGAAAAGGTTTTTTACAGCATGTGATCTTTAAGAATGAACTCACACAGACCTCGTTTCTGTCAGGGCGCTGCGACTGAAGAGTGTAATGAGTTGCAGGAGGGGATCGATAGCTCTGGCACCTTCTCCCACATCCTTTCCTTCCTCTCGGTCACCTCCACACAGATCCATCACTCCTCCCCTCTGCATTCAAGAGAGAATAAAGCCACTAGTGTGTGCTCTTAAATAATGTCACACACTGGCCCCCACAGCCTCTGGGGTGACTAACGTTTAGACCCAGAAGGTTAACCTGACTGCCAATACAGACTATAAAGTATACTCAAACTTACAGTACATAACATGGTCAGGTTTATGTGCAGGGAGAAGACTATAACTTAACATAAACATAGTTCAAAAAGGGCCATTTGAATTTCTATATGTTAAAGGTGGGGTAGGTAATTCACTTCAGAAACACTTTTTGTTATATTCCATGGAATGCTCTGAACATCCCGATAGCAATGAATACATTAAATGCTTTGACAATAAATACATAAAAAAATGTCATCTGTGGAAGCCGTGGCGCTGTAAAAAGCACGACCAATCATCTGATCAATCATTTTTTCGGCTGCGTACTTTTAAATTCTAGCGCACTCGAGCTGGTTTCTCCATTCTTACCTACCCTACCTTTAAATGTTGTAAAGCAATCACACCTAGCAACTTGGCCATAAAGTAAGTATACATGTATAATATTTATGGGAGTTTTCGCATTAGAGGGTTCACTGCATGCAGCACGGCTCCATGTTGTTACAGCAGCATACAACATTTAACGTGCCAATATGACCATGGGTTAGGAATATATTGTGTTCACACTGAAAACAAAATAAAGTATATGTGAATACTCGTATTTATTTGCATTGGGTTGATTTTGTTTAACATCTTTGGATAAAGCATTACTTTTTACTTACAAATTGAAAAAGTAGCAAGCAGCTGTCCATAGATATGCTTTGACTGACAACTGTTAAAGAGTATCTATCATAATTTACTTTGATAAAAAATAGTAAAGCGTATCATTTGTTCGTATACTGCTAAAAACAGCATACTGTAGTATTACTGTACAGTAGGGCTATTCAATTAGTTTGGAATGGGGGCCGGGAAAAAGATGGCTTGAAATATGAGCAATCATATTAAGAGCTTCGGATACAGTAAATACTACAACAGCATAGTGGAGTGCATATATTGTGTTTAATTCAATCAAACAACATAGCCCCAAGGCCTTTATAGATCTAAATGGCAAGTTCAGAACTCCGTAGGCCTACATGTGAAGCTAATTTAACCATCAACATCATTTCATTTGATTTAATTTAGGTGAAATTATCGAATCATTCACGCAGAGATGCAATAAATGACAGGAGTTGTCACTACAGTAGCTAGTAGGTGGGTTCGAAACCCGAGCCCGCCGAAGTTTTCAGGCATTGTCTTCCACTCTATCTCTCAATGTAACACCCTCTTTGGAATAAAGGCACTCTGGCCCAAAAAGAAATCTTTCAAAAAAACCAAAAGGAAAAAGGAGTTATGGGCCACATTTGTTATGTACATTTAGAAAATCTTGGTTATGGATGGCAGATGGCAATTTGTGTTTTTCTCCCAATCAAAAAATAGGCCTGTTTTAACTCCTACCTATGTTTCAGATCATTTTAACCTTCTGGTGTCGATATGGTTTGCTTTCAACTCACAGCTAAATCCTCCACAAGCTTCTCCTCAAAGCTGTGGTCCTCTGCTGATATCCAGGATTTATTGTAGCCTTGAAGGAACAGGTTGACAGCTCTGTGCCTGGGGAGGCAGAAGAAAGGGTGAAGAGACAACAGGAGTCTCACATTTGCATACACACATGCAAATAAGAGATAGACAAACAGGCAGCTTAGAGGGACACTATTAAACTATAAAAGAGCTCTGATTAGACCAATTATAAAACATTCATCAAGGCCTCTTATGCTTGTTCTGGGTGGTGACACAGCTACAATTCACGAGACACAAACATCCAAATACTATTGCTATATCACATACAAACCACACACAGCCACAGGGTTTTCATATGAAAATGTAATCACGTTTGTACCTGGGTAAGTTGTAAAGGGGAGCCATCCGCAGGCAGGCCACCACTGCTCGTTTCCTCTGCTTGGATAACACTCTGTGCCACGCAGGTTTTTTATTTCTCTGCGGGTGCTCCACCTGAACCGAAATTCAAAGATAAACAAAGACGTCAATTAGAAAGTGTAATAGAATAGTGCACATGAACCCTAAGTGGTTACAGTGGGAGTTTACCTTAATTTGTCTTGCAATTATCATGCATTAATATATTCCAAATAAATTAGCGTCAAGAAGAAAAACAATCTAAGGTTTCTAATCCCCTTTGCTCTCGTAATATGTTATGTTGTACTGTAGGTCTTGTAATATCAAACACTTATCTAACAGTGCCTAGAAGAGTCTTTTGTAGCAGGTGATACTAATAGCGTTAATGATGGCTCAATCGCAAGCCATGATAGTATGAAAGCATGCCAGGACGCACAATATTAGGACCCTGAAACATGGATGTATAATAAGAACTGGATACAGCGTGGGAGGCGGGGTCTCGTTCTTTCCTATGAGAGCTGCTCATTGGCGCATGAGGACAAAATGGCCCAACTTTTGAGAGAGCGAAACGTCACAGATTACCCGTCATGCCTTGCTGTCAGAGCAGAAGTACCTGTATGTGCGCTCAGAGCATGCGCAAATGAGTTGCCCCTTAAGCCCCGCCCCCGAGCTCCGACTCTCAGATGCCGTTCATAAAGCCGAGGAAAATAACTCAGAATAACGTTATTAGCACATGTTTAAGGGCTATACAAATGTTCATACTGGGTAGTTTATTTAGTTTAAAAAAAATTATCCAACGATTTACAGACGTCTCTTTCCCAATGTAAGTCAATGGGAAAAAGTCTTTCCGGGCCCAGCGACCGATACGGAAGTGTAGTAACCAGTGGCGGCCGGCCCATAGGGGCGCTAGGGGCGCCCCCCCCCTCTTCCCACATTAAAAATAAAAATAATTTAAAAAAAATATATATATATATATATATATATTTAAAAAATATATTTTTTATTTTTATTTTTATTTTTAATAAACAAGGTAAATATTATATAATTGGTATCAGTAAAATGTATAATCTACAATAAAATCTCGTTTAAAATTGTGTTACGATGTCTAAAGTTACTGATAAGTCACATGTTTCCTGCCTGGCCTTGCCCGTCTATCATTACCCTCTCTCGTCTGGGAGCTATGCACAGCGCCCAGACGAGAGGGCAGCAAGTGCAGCAGAAGCCAACTGTTGCTATCTTTAAACTATGCCGCCGAAACATAATTTCAGCCAATCAGCGTCGTCAAATCTGATGGTCACAGGGCTCCTACGTGAGCGCCCGGTGCAGTCTGTGAGTTGTTTGGACTCGTATCCAAGGAGACAAAACAGGAAGCTGTCATACACTCTGGAAGCTACCATTAGCAGCTAATGAAAACTCAGTTTTTGACATAAAAATTGAATTATGGATCATCAATCATTTTTCAAAGTGACAGACACATTGGATTAACCTTCAGCTGCGTTTTTCTCGTTTTTGATCAGAATTGTTATTCTGCAAAAGGTGAGCATATCTCCGTGTTTTGCTACCTAAAGCTACGTCGTGTGATGTCTGTATTTGCTTCCCCTGTCGCGAGTTCTGATCGCTCAGTGATGATACTTATATTTCTAGAATCTGGAATCTCAGCTTGTTAGCACAGTTTATGCTGTAGAAACTATGTCCAGGACAAGGTGTTTGGAAGTTTTGGAAGATTCATAGCTAACCACACTGAAGTTATGGAGGTATTGATCAGTCTTCTCATATTTTTAAGCCTCAAATTGTCACCCCCCCCTCCCCTCCCCCCCTCTAACATCACCAGAAGTCATAATTTAGGGGGTCTTTTCTCAAAAAAATGCCAATGTATTGTTTGATCACCATTTCCACAGCCCCACCTAAAATATTTTCCACCAGCCGCCACTGGTAGTAACGCCGTTTGGCCACAACGAATATTTTCCTCAGAGTCCGGCGCACTTCCTGGGGGCTTGCCCTGAAACTAAAGTAGCTAAATGGAATTCAGCCATCATTCATTTGACTATTTAAACCTGTGTCAAGTTAACAAGTCTTCTCTAGAATCTAAATAAAAAAGGCTATAAAAGAGAATCACTTAAACTTTGGCAAGCAAAAAATGAAATAAAAATACTTTATGTGTACTGATAATGATAATTCGTTGTATTGCTTTAAAAGCTCACCTGGTCAAGGTAATAAAGAACTCGAGCTATTTCCAGAATCCTGTCGACAGTCCTTTGGCCGTCAGTAATGGCTCCTTGCTGGCCTGGAGGATCTGCATAAAGGGACTCCTGCCTCAAGCCGTTTAACACCTGCAAAGAGAAAACATCCCAAAATTGCTTCTTTTATACTCTCTTTCCTTCTTTTGTGTTTCAGCCATTCAATTACACATATTTTTAGAAAGACTGCTGGAGGGTGACAAATGCTTCAGCAATGAGAAACGGGGATTCAGAGCAAAACAAACAGAAGACAGAATAAGGGAGCTTGGTTTGAAAATAAAAGACTAAAAAACATTAATAAGAAACCCAGTCACTTTTCATATGACCAACAAAAGGCTTAATGCTGTGCAAAAATATAATCAAATGTCTGTTTAAAAGTTTGATTGATTATGCTAATGAGAGCAGGATGTGTGTTTTTTGTTCATCACTGACTCATGAATAAACATATGTATGACTGACTCGTGAATAACTGGATAATGCACGCATATTTTTAACAGTTTAGTGAGTATGGGACACAGTGATGTCTCTGGTGAGCAATGAGTAATGAGATTATTATACTATGTTTGTTCCTGATTTGGCAAGCGAAGAGAGCATTCTTCAATTTCATTTACCACATACTTGCTGCCTTCTGCAAATTAAAAGTCACATGTACACAGGCATGGTGACGAATATGCAGAGTGTCTCCAGAATGTAGGAAACACTTACTTTGATTATACTTTAAGAAGAGAACAAAAAAGGAATGAATTAAACCAAGATGAAATAGAGATGCTAAGCAGTTTTTCTATAGCTAGGTAAGAGTTATTTATTTAAGAATTCCACTTACCATATCAGTCAACAAACCCTTCTTTAAGGATTTTATTTCATACTGCAGAAATATTGTAATCTAAAACTAAATGTGTTGAAATACAATTTATAATCTTAAAAAATGAAATACTGTATTAATGTTACGAACACAATAAAAAGTGTTACCTGACGCTGAAGGCCATTGAAAACACGTTCTCGAATCTCATCTTCAGTGTTCTTCTGTTAAAGGCAAACAATGGCCAACATGAAATATACATTACATACCACATATCTATATTACAGGACACTCACGTCCACCATGATCCTACAACACTCCAGATTATCATAGAGAGAGATGAAGTCCCTCCCTTTCCGGGGGAGCTCCATGGGACCTTATTTCGGAAAAACTATGTATTGAAGTCAATGGAGAGAGAAAGATTATCTTTCGATCCCGTTTGAATTGTGCCACGAATTACACATATGATGTTTGTCAATTTAAAAGATAATTTTGCACGTAAAAAAAATAAAAATGTGTCGTAAAACTGTGAAGTAACACTTTTTTTTGTGTGAACCGCTCAATGACCTACATCTCCCGTCTCGCACCACACACCAAGACGGCCGTCACGTTGGCACATTTCACTTCTTTCTTTCAGAATGAGGCGAAAAGTATTAAACGAGGTGAAAATCACTACAAGTCTGGGCATGTTGAGAGCTGTACATACACACAAGGGGAGTTAGTCGGTTCGTAAGAGCCAGCATGCGGGACCGGGATTCTGGGATTTGTAGTGTTTCTAGTTGCGTATTTTTCATAGTCTTATATTTCAACCGTTTTACAACAAACTGTGACTTTTTTGACATGGAAATGATTTGTTAAGATTGACAAACATCATATGTGTAATTCGTGGCACAATTCAAACGGGATCGAAAGATACGTTTTCTCTCTCCATTGACTTCAATACATATTTCCGAAATAAGGTCCCATGGGTCGGAAGTAGATGGGCGGGACTTCGCCTCTCTATAAATACACTCAGATGTACATGGAAGGTTTTGTCATCATGAAGGCTACACTTAATCCTCGTACATTTCCAACTGACCTGAGAGAAGCCGCTCTTAGCCAACATGATGAGGCTGTGGTCACTTGGAAAGCAAACCCTGAGTCCCACAGGGAGCAGTCTCTTCATGGACGCCACAATCAGAGAGGTGTGTGTGGAATACCGATCCCCCTTCCTCTTCACCTTCCTCTGCTCATGGTCAAACTGTGTATTAAAAAGCCATGAAGATTAATTAACTTTGAGACTTGACTGACAACTTTTTGGTGATTGCCGTACAAATAACAAACATGGCTGACCTTGGACATTTTGTCGTTGTTGACAAGGAAAGCCAAGTTGTTTATTTCATTTTGGACCACAAAGTTCTGTTCCTCCCATTTGAAATTCTGTAGTGGCAAACAAAGGGGGAAGAAAGATGACATGGTTTATGGAGTAGAATATTTACTTGGATAGCATGGACATGAGAGGAATACATAAAAAACCACGATGTGTCATCCTCACATGAGATTTGGCCCAGAATATAAAGACCTCTGCCACCATGCAGAACAGCTGCTCAGCGTCAGGGTTTGGCTCTTTCAGCCAGCTGGCACTGAGGCAAGACAAAACAAAACACATCGCAGTATCATCAGGGAATTTATTCCAGTAAGAGTTAACATTTGCCTGAAATATTATCTTCAAATACCACTCAACAACATCCATCTTATTTTTACAATTTACCACAAGTTTTTTCACAAACATTGATGGAAAAAGTGCATTTCAAAAAGGTTTCTACAAAAGGCAGAGGTTAATTACCAGTGCTCCTAGTGTCAATGTATCAGAGTAAAAAAAGTTACACTCCATTGATTCTAAAGAATCTTGTAATAACTCTCCTGGAGCTTTTGGCCGAAACAAATAAGCTTGCTTCTCCACGTCTGAGCTCCTTGGCAGAGTGCCTTACCGATTAGAATCCACAAATGGGATGAGGAGTGGATAAAAGGCGTAGAGGTCTCGCACCAGCACAGTGAACTTCTCCTGTATCTGTAACTCTGCTTCAGAGGTATCACACCATTCTGCTTTCATCTGCTCCTCCTCAAGCAGCACACATTCGGCCCTCTTTCTCAACTTCTCCATCAGTGGCAGGAAGTGGCTCTTTAACAGCTCAATGTGGGCTTTGCATATAATCGGCTGGGAAAAAACTGAAAGATATGGCAACTGTTAGTACTGGGAATTATAACCGAAATAAAGAAAACATCTGAGTAATGTATATGACCATAATACCTGCCAGCTGTTTCATCCACTCGCCCTGGCTACAGCCGACATGGTTGTGGATGACACGGAGGATGTGGCCAAGAAGGTCACTAGCATGTTGAGGAATGACAGCGGTGCAGATCGGGCTGTCTGGCAGGCCCTCGGGGCCCCAGTCCCACCAACGAGACATGTAGTTGCACAGCATAGGCAGAGTGACCTCAGTGACATGGATGTACTGTGCCTGGCGAGCCCCAGCACCAGCTGCAGCCAAATCCTCCACCTCCTCCAGAGCCTGATCCAGAGAGGGCAGGTAGGGACACATGTCCTCCACCTGATCTGCTAGCCCAAAGTCTAAAAGAAACAGAAATGGAAAATAAGGCTGAGAAAACAGGGTAAGGATATGGGGGTTGGAGCACTCAAGTTTAAACAGAGAACACTGATTAGTGTGTCAGGAGGGTTAGTTCATTTGTATTGAGTCTTTGTCCTGTGACTAATTAATTGACGAATGTTGTGGCACTTCAGTCACATATTTAATCATAATTAGGTAACAAAAATGACAATGGTTATTACCTTCTCTCTCAGAGGCACTCATGGTGTTGTAGATGGAGTAAGGGTTGTTTTGGTTTAGAGAAGGCTCCAGGAAGCAAACAGGAAACGTCCCAGTCAGAGCTGCAAGACAAGCCCCTGCTGCTGCCCTCTGCCTGTACAGGAAGACTGTGTTAGGACAGAGGCATGGGGCTGACTAATGTACTAATCTAATCAAACTCTGTGGGGTAGGTTTGCTAATGTAAGTGATCTGCCAGAGACTTTCAGTTCTTATCTCAGGGTCAGAAATGTTGGTCACTTAACTTGACCCTTATACATTAATCAATAGCCTTGATGAAATGTGAGTTAAAAAAAAGAGAGAAAACCAGATTACAGGAAGACATTCTTTTCAAAATCACAAACTGTGAATCACATATCCATAAAGGTAGTACCCCTCCATGTAGATGCTGCTGCTGGTGCCAAGAGAGTGGAGGCTGTTGAGGATCCTGTAACAGTACACCTGGATACTCCCCACTGGAAAGACAACATCCAAGGACAGTGAGTAGGAAAGCTGATAGCGTGCAAACAGAGAGATAGACTAGTAGCTGGATGGCTGCAGATAATGAATGATTCCTGGAAGGTCAGGATATCAGTGATGTTGACAATATGCTCCTGCTGCTCTATGGCTATAACTGAGACACTCGAGGAGCTGGTTTCAAAAATGTGGTGGAATGTTCATCCAGCTCCTTAACAAATGTACGAACTACTGAAGAACCATGTGCTAGAGTGTGTTTATGTACTATTGTGAAGGTATGTTATCAAGCTGTATTTGTAATTGTGTATCCAAGGGTGCATTCGAGGATGTAAAATGTATCAAAGTCGCCCCTCACCCAGGAGGAGCACTCCAAAGTGTTGGTTGCCAAGATGCTGAAAGAGGGAGGTGAGGGTGGGCAGGAGAACGGAGGTTGTGAAGCTGAGAACCTTGGCAACTCCTCTAGCCTGTTGACTCCGACTCTGAGGCAAACAGACCAAGGTCACAGAGAGGTTTTCCACCGTCATCTCCAGATCAGCTGCGGCTGCCTCAAAGAATGAATGCAGGGATGCTTGGATAAACTCTGGGGCTGACTTCATCAACGCTCTAGGGCCAAAGGGTGGAAAATGGCTGTTAGTTTAGTGGTAAACTGCATTAAAGGTGGGGTAGGTAATTCACTTCAGAAACACTTTTTGTTATATTCCATGGAATGCTCTTAACATCCCGATAGCAATGAATATATTAAATGCTTTGACAATAAATACATGAACAAAATGTCATCTGTGGAAGCCGTGGTGCTGTAAAAAGCACGACCAATCATCTGAGCCGGCCCGACTAAAATAACTGGATGCCGGTCAGCCTTCCATCTCGTGCACAAACTTATCTCGTGTCCTCATTGGTCATGTGTGCGTTCGTGTGTGTTGGAGGAGAGGCTCTGTAAGGAAGTCTGAAGGAAGGGGCAGATTTTTTACGGCTGCGTACTTTCAAATTCTAGCGCACTCGAGCTGGTTTCTCCATTCTTACCTACCCTACCTTTAAGGTATACATGTACAAATAAGGGATACAAAACATGTGATTGCCTACTTCAAAATAGAACAATAAGAAATGATATGGAGATAATGAAACAGTTAAAAAAGGCATCATGCAGTGTCTCTTTTACAAGCTTTAATAAAACACAGTTAAGTGGATTAAATCAGTTGCTAATCCATCCAGCAGACAAGTCTAAGAGACATCAATGTCTGCCGAGCCGAGATTCTACTTTAGGGTCATGCTTCAGAGGCAGTGTCCTCAGGGAGTAAAAGTGATATCAACCACAATTAGATAGCATCAGTGTATCAGTGGCTCAATTACACCAGTCATCTCATCCTCAGACATGGTGGTGTGACACTGATGTGACCGCAGGCAGAGCGAGGGGATCGGTTCAGGCAGAGTGTGACGATAGTGCCATCTAGCTATACCTGGCATCCAGAGTCTGAGCCAAAACATGGAGGCAGCTTGCAACTGACGACGCTTCGTTTCCTGGCAAAACACACACACACATACACACTTAATCCACAATGTCCTCACACACAGACAAATAGAGTCAAATACAGAACATGCATAAACACACAAGGAATTAGATGAATCTCATATAATAACATATTAAGGAGCAAACCAAGGACACTAACAAGAGAACAAGTGATTGAGCTTCATTTCCACACCATCCTTACCAAAGAGGGAGATCCTGTGTCTTACTAGAGCTGCAAGCTTACAAAAGAGGCTGGATGTGAGGAGAAGGACAAAGGCAGTGATGAGGAGAGGAGTGGGAAAGTAATTGCAGGACACAAAATCAGAAGAATGAGGCTTTTACATTTAAATAAACACTGATAAAGAAAAGACATAATTACACTTTTTAAAGTATTTGACAGAACAGTTCTGAGGAATTGTCCTTATACAATATGATGTGTAACAGCATTTAAAAAAACGTATAGTGAAATCAGCATACCATGATATTTGTTGGGGGTTAACACATACCTTGCAATCATCTCCTTTTCCTTTTTTGATGCATGGCTTTTATTCCCACTTGAGCAGTGAGAAGTGGGCAGGAAGTATGGACGATGGCTCTTCACATATTGTTCCAAGAGAGGAAGGATAACCTGTTGAATGGAGTAGTAGCCATATCATCAGTACAGTAAAGAGAGAACTTACTCAAAAGATACATCATTTGAAGTATAAGTACCATTAAATCAAGTAGATAACTCTTGATTGTCACTTGTTAGTAACATATTTCCCTTAATGCATCCAATGAAATTGTCTTGTCATCATGATTAGTGTTTCAAATAAGGTTTTGGGTCTTTGCAGTGTCTATAACAACATGAATGTGTTATAATTAGTCCCGATAAGGACCTGTGGGGGAAAGAGCTGAACATTTGGCATCTATTAGCTCTTCATATGAAGCACTGACTATTTACAGACGGACAGATGGACAGGCAGACAGGCAGGGATGTGCGTGGAGTGTGTGGTTGAGTGGGAGGTGTGGGGTGTAGAGATCTGAGGCATGACTGTTCATGGTATCGGCTGACTGCGTCCAACTCAGTGGGTCCCATCAATGAAGAAATAAACCCTTTTCATTCGCTGCCTCCTTAGGGGCAGAACAGAGTGGGAAGCTTTAATCAATTTCCTGATGGCAATCGACACGCCCACAAGGATTTCCAAAATGGCTAAATAAATTACACAGCCACAAAGGGTTTTACTTAAGAGGGGTTTCCCATGGCAACCGTCTAACAAAACTAATTAGATGACGTAAATCAAATAAGAAAAAGGAGGGGGAACGAAAATGGCCTTGAAAGTCAATGCCAGGGATTTCATATCAGACTGATATGGATTAGGACTGTTCAGATATGTAATTGATCTGATGCAAACCTTGGGGAAAAAATGAATTGGCTGCTGGTGTGCAGCTCTCTCTCCTTTAGACATCTGTCCTCTGGCTTGCATCACCTCTGGAAAGAAAAACACAATGAAATATTTGATCAAAGACATCTACCATGGTACAAGATACACAATAGTAACGTATTAATAATAAAAGTGTTTCTGTGTAATTCTCACGTAAGACAGACAAGTTCACATACCCAGGCATGCTGTGGGCTATTAGTGATGGTTTACATCAAATCCACCCTGAGGCAGACTTGCTGAATGTCGACTCAAGACTCAATATTGATCAAATGTGAAGAATTCAAGTCCCAGACTCAAGGCTCACTAATATGTTCAAAAACATTGAAGCGTCATCTACATAAGATATTCATATCTTTGGGATGTATTATTGGACGTTACATTTCCAATAAGTGAAATGATCATCATACCCAGCTCCAACACATGCTCCTGGGCCTCCTCAGTGTGAGCCAGCAGCCGCTGAAGGAGAGTGAAGCCAAAGCAGTTGGCTATGGCTGGAAAGTCCATCTCGGCTGTCTTCCGATCCCTGTAGAGGCGGTGAAATCATACAGGGGTAATGAAACACTGCTGCTGGAAGCCAATAAGCTCTGACATTAATGTATAATCTGGACTATGAATTTTCGAATTTCTAAAATTGCCTCTGCACCAGTGTGAAATGAAGATGGGTTATACATAGGGATGCTCCGATCGATATTGGCCGATACTCATTCTCTGCCGATCGATCGGTGCTCTCTAAAAATGCCGATCGCGAGAGCCGATCACATGACGTAAAATGATGACGTAAAATACATGACACTTTTCTCTGTGCGCGGCAAAACAAGCTCGCCAAAATGGCTTCACCGTTCTGGCAGTATTTTAAGGTGTCCGAAAAAGACAATAAAATAGCGGTATGCAACGTGTGTGTGAAGCAGAAATCCTGCAGCTCCGCCCGCTGTGACGGACCGGTGAGCGGAACAAAACACACACTAAGAGTTAGACCTAACACACTTAGCTATTTTATCTACCTCTGGAACAAGCTAAACCAGTTATAAATATATGTATTCTTCACTGTCGGGTCACTCATTACTGGATCAGTGAGCTGCATGAGATACTGACAGGCTGTCAGGAGAGAGAGAGAGGGGGAGAGAGGAAAAGAGAGGCTTCTGCTAATTTCTCCTGTGTTATTATCCAAAGTTAATGTGAACTTGAATAATGTACTTAATTTGAATGTAATAATTATGTTGGTTGTTGTTTGTGGAAGCGCCAGTGAATGAGCCCCATTAACTGAGTTTTAAACATCACTTTAAATGGAAGATCCCCATAGGCCCTGATTCCGGCGATCGGTCCCAAAATTGGCGATCGAAGCATCCCTAGTTATATATCTTTCATGCTATATTACATTGGCCTTTAGCAAAGAAAGCTCCTTCTTTACGCACCTCCACACATTATAGCCGTTAAGCTGAAGGAACTTGAGAGCATTCTGCGCTCTTTCTCTGAATTTGGTCTTCTCCTTGGCTGTTAGAGTATCATAGGGTACAAGCATTGGATGGTTTCCTCCTCCTGAAAACAGACATTGGTCAAATATATTAAAACTGTTGCTAACAGTTCTGTGGCCCCTGTGGGAACACGACTTGTAGAAATAGAAACAGGACGCATCATAGAAATATCATAAAACAGTGGTTGACACCGTGGTGTGGTACCTTTGCTCTCCAGCTCTAATTTCTTCTTCTTAGCCCAGGCATTGTGGTAGTTTTCAGCCAACTGTAAAGCCATAGCCTATAGGAACAAAAGAAAAGAGTTCCATCTATTTACTCTATCTTTGCAACACAAGTTTTATCACAACATTTGTAAAAACAAGTTTGCTAGAATTACAGAAGCATGGCAAGTATAAATTCCGACCAAATATATCAGCTCCTCCCAATCCGCTTTATTTCATAAATATATAAAACTCACTAATAAGACATGTAAATAAAAACACAAAAAATGAACTATAACTCCTTTAACCCTTGTGTTGTGTTCAAAAGCTGTTACCGTTCATGGTGTTCGCGGGTCAATTTTGACCCATGATTTATCTCAGTCCAAAACACAAAAAAAAAATGACTATCATCCAATATTGTTTTAACTACATCATAACTAACTTATAATGCATTCATAACCGTACAATCCTGTTGTAATTTAATGTTATGGCCCAAAACACATTACACCACATATTGCACACGTGCATAATGTGTTCAGGTTCAAGTGTTAGTGTACATATTCTTTGAGAAAGGTCGAGTTTCCATGGGGGGAGGGGGCCAGAGGGAGGGGAGACCAGGCGCATGTTGCGAAAAATTATTGTTACAGTTGATGAAGGGGGTGGGGGAGGGGTGTCTAAAGTCAAAGATGAATCTTGATTGGGCCAAATTTGACCTCGAGTCACCCAAAACAATTCTGCTGGGTCTCCCCAGACCCGAACACCAAATTATACACTTTTTTAGAGACCTTCAGACTTGGCTCAAATTGTCAAAATCTGTTTTGTAGTGTTTATATAGCTGTTGTGGAGGATATCATGAAGCCTTAATCCGATAAAAGAAACTAGAGCGTAGTTATTATATCATTTTAACTTGAAACGGGTCACGGGAGACCCGAACACAACATAAGGGATAAAGTAGCAGACAGTATCCTAATAGATCTCCAACAAGGAAACTACTTTTGGCAAGGAAATGCATCAAAGAAAATGGGTCCAGTATCCAAAATACAATTACACAGCACTCTAACATGTAGCCAATGGGAGAGGATTTATCTTTTTAAGGAGACTTCATTTTTCAGGCACTGAAATTTGTGTCACTGAGTTGTTTTAAAAGAAATGTATGTCTGTTCCGTTAGTCTATAACTGCACAGACTTAAGCCACTTACATCTGACCACTCACAATTATGATCCTATATTTTGTAAGCATTTAGTATCATGTATTTGCCTTATATAGAACAACATTGGTAACAGGCGTGCTACTAGCTCTACTGATCTGGTGTCAAGATTCAAGTAGAACAAAGGTTTTAACTACTTTAATGCTAAATAAGGCAGAATTACTCACACACTGGTCCCATGATAAGGTGATGCTGCTCATGTCCATTGGTTTAGGGCTGAAGGTTGATGCTCCTTCAAAAGAAAGCTAAGAGACAACCATTGTTTGTCAACTCTTGAATTAAAAAAATGTAAAATCAAAGTGGCTGAACACTTTAAACAAAAAAAGAAATTAGTAGGAAATGCAGTGGGGGAAGTGTTTGGTGGGGAAAGACGTACATTTTAATAGAACAGACGTATGGCGCCCTAAGGCTGTGTGAATGTGGCCTTTTGAGTACCTGTCCAGACTGAGATACTCTGCGTGTAACGGTATGCGTGCCGAATGCTTCTCCTTCTTTGGTTCTCTCTATAGTCCATCCAAAGGCCAGCATACTCTTTATGGTTTCTTTAATGGCCCAGCGGTACGCCTCCTTTTCCTAGAAAACTCGGAAATATCAATATACCCTTATAAAAAACTGAACTTAGTAGGTCATTGAAGGACAGCAGATAATGGAAAAACTATTTCAAACTACTGTATTTTATTATTTCAAAAACTGTTGTAAGCTCAATACCCCAAAAACCAATGCATTTCATATTTTATATTACACACAGTACATTGGCTATGATTGCGCCGAGGGGTGTTCTTACTTCACTGCTTTACTTTGTTGTATTTTTGGACTTCTTACTCTACCTTCTCAGCCAGAGCCCTGTATGGCTTGAGGCGAGGGTGAACCTTGGTGTTCTCACATTGCTGCTCCCCGTGAACCCAGCCGTTGGCAAACTGAAAGAGATAACATACTGATTCAGTGTAAAAGTACACATAAGAAAATATGCAGGCATCAATAAATTACAACACAGACATGGTGTTGACACTGTGAAGCAGACATATTGTCATGTAAATATATTCCTAAGTGGTTCAGTCACCACCAGGATATCATACATCAACTTTACTTTGTCAACGTAAACCGGCCGTTCGGATTTGAACAAATATATTCAGATGTTACCTTGTCCAGTGACCACTTCTCATGAGTGTGCTCCGCGTACTTATTCACAACAAACTCCAGTCTTTCTGGCACTGACACGCTAGTGCAGGGGAAACAAAAAAAACACATCATGTATCCTACAGTAACACATTTAGATATAACTGTGCATTATTATTGGAAAGATGTTCTTTGAGCATGAAGATACATTATCATTTGCACAGCAGTATTTTCATTTAATAAAAAAATAGTTCTTTAATGATTTTGCTCAGTTTTTTGGAAGCATATTTTCTGTGTCCAATATGATGTGCATGCAACGATATCTCAGCAGCCAGACATTTAAATTAAAATGGTATATTGACATACACTTCAACAAGTATTGCATCTCCTGAAATATTGTTAACAAATGGGTCAATTGTTGAGCCCAATGCTGTTTAAAGTATATTCTCTTTACATATTTCCTAGAGCAGAACAAGTCATTGAAAATCAAAAGGTGCTATTCTTTATCTGTTATCAATAAATATCTCTGGTCAGTATCTTACCTTAAGGTATCTACAGGCTGGGGGTCAAAGTGTCCTTCTGTGTCCATTGAGGTTTTTCTCTCTGTATCCGACACACAGCTTGAGTCCATGTGGTCAGGAGGAAGAGCCATGGACACGGCAGCTAGGCACTGGACACACAGCCCGAATAACTGAGGCTCATAGGGCTGTAGAGTTAGAGAAAGATAGGATACATATTGTAGGAGGAAGAAAAGATAAAGACACAATGGGACAGTGTTCGGGGGAGATGGGCAACAAAATGGTACAGTTTTAATGAGATATACTGTATAGTACAGGGGCATTTCCGAAAAGATGTCCTCCTGTTCCAATATTTGTAAAAAAATAAATAAATGGGGGGGGGGGCATTTTTAATTGAGCCGTCCCTTATAGATACTATCTCTTTACGTAAGTGAGCCGGATCATTTGACTTGGCTCTCTTAAAGCGCCGGCTGTTTTGGCTCCCAAACGGCTCTTCGTGGCTCCGGCGCTCGCAGTTCACGCGCGTGCTCCACTAGCACCCCCCCCCCGCCCCCTCATCGCGTCCAAATCGCGCACGTTCCGTGTTGTGCTGTGGCAGGCACCGCCGATGTCGGGGAAACGATCTTCAATACTCCGAAAAGAATCCCACCAGACTCCTTTGCCCCTCCAACAGAGGGATGTCCTTTTCGTCATTTCAAGCGATAAAAATTCCCGATCTTCTCTCGAATTATTAATTTTTTTGGACGCCCACGGCTCGAGTTCAGGGCATTCCGAGCTGAATAAGGGCGTCAAATGACTGCAAGACGCCCCCCTGGCGGAAACGCTGCTCGCACTGCAACTTTACATTTGGTTGATATTGGTTAAGCCTTGGTTTTTGCTGCTTTCTGCAACAACAACAATGTTTTCTTGCTTTGAGCATGTGTCTGGATTTCACAAACAGAACACTTTTCAGCTAAGGGAACCAGTTTATTTAATTAATTTAATGACACATTGGATTTTTATTTCAGATACAAAGACCTAGCCTTCGTGAAGAAATACTTCAGCTGAAAAAAACATCTAGCTGCAAATCAAGTGTTGTACAATAAATAGGGATACAGAAATACTGTGCACCTAAGCTACACTACACACTCTGTAGAGAGTCTTCTTTGCAAACTGAACTTCAAGGATTTTTAATGCAAGTCTCCAGTGGGACTGGAATGATCCTTTGAGCTTGAATCTTTTATGTATCGATGTTCTCAATCCATCACGTAACGATCATTTCAGAAATATGCTGGTACATGTCAACTGAGGAAAGGTTCAGTTATTGCTTACGTCTCTCACATTTCAACCAACTCTGTTCAAGGATGGAGGGTTTTATACTAGGATGTAAAAAAATGTACTCGTAATCACAAGTGGGTTTATCTTCCTCCACTCAGGTTCTTAGAGACGAAAATCAAATAAAGATTCTGATATCTCTTCGGAAATACGATTTGAGGAGAATTCAAAGAAGAAAAGATAAATTAAGGGCTGTTAAAAAAAATGTAATATTAATTCATTTTCTGCAACTCTTTTGGTTCGCCACAAAAAAAAGAAGAATTATAAATAATAGTAATTTTGAGATTGCCGCATGTATTCAAAATGGATTACCTTCTTTGCCAAGGCCTTAAACACGCCCCAGAACAACTTTCTCGACAGGTGGAGCTCCTCTCCAGAGGCCAGAGCCTGCTCACCCTGCCCTGCAGCCAGAGAGTAGTACTTCCACCTCTGCTCGTAGTGACTGGTCAAGAGCTGGTGGATCATAAAATGTATAATTTATCAAGGTGAACCAATTTTTTTTCTGCTCTACTGTCGTGAACTGATATTTTTATATTCACCTTTAGTGGCATTTTGCTGTCGTCTGTGAGATGGGGAACATCGAAGACAAGGCGTCGAAGGAGAGGCTGCATCATAGATGGTTGGAGTTTACTGAGGACACAGATGAATGAAGAATTAGTCATATGAGCAGATACACATCACATATTACCAGGGGAATGATGTATGATCAGTTTTGACTGAATATCATGTCTCAGAAAGATGTCACATATAATTGAGAAGATGCCATGGGCAATATGCAATTAATTCAACATTTTGATTGACTTTGGTTAATTACATCTGAATTGGGCAAAAAAAGGCGTTTCAGTGATTCATCAAATATAATGAGCGGGACAAACAGTGCACTGATGTGTCTGCATCAATTAGCAATAATCTGCTGCTCTCTCGTTCTCTTCACAACATATCATTTGGTCAAACAGAAAAAACAAAGCCAGGTCAATGGATACAATAACAAATGGTGCAATAATTCTTGTATTAAAAATGGTATTACAGAAGATAAGAGCTTTCACAATCTACATTTTAGCATCCCATATAAAAGCTTTTAGCAACTTGCAGACAGCAACAACTCCTTGCAGAAATAACCAAGGGAAGACAGGACCCTAACTCTAGGTTACTTTATCATATCCTAGAAGCACTACCTGCACACGGCCAACAGACACTCTTCAATAGTGTCTCTCTGAGCCTTGGTGAGGCTGAGAGCCCTGGAGAGGCCGTAGATTGCCTGGATGAGAGAATCCACCAGCAAAGCATGGTCCTCTAATGGACAGAAGAGAGCTGAACATTTGGTGAGCAGGGGGAGCACAGTTGTACACAAGTATCTGTTCAGGGCCAGGGCCATATCAGTGGATCCCAAGTCAGCCTGCAATGGAAAATAGAGAGTACATTTAGAGAGTCTTAATTAGTGGATCCAAACAGACAAAATGGAGTTAGGAGATTACAAAAAGAAACAGGGACCATGATCACTGATGCATGTATGTCTCATCAGATTGAAATGGAAATATGTGAAGATTTAAGCTGAAAAAGATACTTCTCAGTAGGGAAGAATAGTATTACAAAAATATTATCCAGATCATTAGTAGACATCTTGGTACCACTTTACAATAAGACTACCCTAATAAAGGATTCATAAAGGGTTTATAATTAGGTTATTAATTAGGTTGTAAACACTTTATGAATCATTGAGAACCATTTATAAACCAGTTCTAAAATAGTTTTCATACATCGACACAGGCTCACTATTTGGCAAGATGACTAAGCCTTATATTGGCTACCTAGCTTACTTTGTCTTCTTCATCAGCCAACATCCTTGGTATCTGGTGTTCACTGAGTTGATTCTCCCCCCATCCATCTTGATGTTTCTTGACATCTCTTTATGACCATTTATGAATGAGTTACTAACATTTATAGTTGCCAAAAGGGAGCCTTATTGTAAAGTGTAAAACACATTCCCATGTATTATGAGTTACTACCATTTCTAATAAGGCTTAGCAGTACAGATAAATGTGGGCTCACTATTTGGCAAGCCACCGGCCACCAAGCCACCTGTTTATCTCTTGTCTTATAAAAGCTTATTAAGGATTTATAAAGTGTTCACAACCTAATTAATAAATGAATTACAAACTATTCATAAACCCTTTATAAGGGTAGTCTTATTGTAAAGTGGTACCGACATCTTAGAGCCTTCACTCCATCCTGAGGATTTCCTCCGCTCAGAGCCTGACCCCAAACCTTGATGAGATGCCAAGTATCTGGCTTGAACTAGCATCACAGAGCAGCAAACTGAGTTTCAATGGATGTTTCCTTCTGCACTTTTTTTCTTGCGACAACAGGGCATGTTTGGTTTTTTCTTTGAGGGGAATAGTTTTTTTGAAGCTGTTGTTGGCCTGTGGAAAAATGCAATCATAAGAAATGACTCCGGAAAAGCTGCCGATACGAGCCATAAGAAATGAATGCAACTGATTATTTAATGTTGTTTTTATAGGCAATAATTGAAGCTTTGTTAGTTCCAGGTTTAATATGTGCAATAAGTTAATTTCAATACGTTTTGCAATAAACATTGAACCAGTCCGGCCCTCGACTAGTACCGATTCTTTTATTTTGGCCTACTGTGTATTTGAGTTTGACACCCCGGTCTTAGAGAATTACATTTACGCAAGTTGAAACAACTAGTACTCAGTAAGTCAGTGTAGTTGATCATTCAGGTCCCGTTACCAGACAATCACAGTAATGTTCGATATGGTGCGATAGGGACAGTGGGAAAAAAGTGGATTCTTTTTTTAATATGCAATTCTAAAGTCACAGGTCACACCTACAACTCTACACTACTGGATCTGTAAACAGGTTGAACAGGTCAACAAGATGCAATGCTGTGAGCTCACAGTGTCAAGGCAGACGGCTGCCTGAAGGTCAGGAAGGAAGCCCACTTCTAGCAGGTGGAGAAGAAAATTCTGGTTCTCAATGCCATACACCCGGTCCAGGAACAGAACCATAGCTGCCTTGTGGTCTGGGCAGAACACTGTGGATAGGTCAGGATCAACCACCAGACCATCTGCACAAACAAACACAAAGTAAAGACATATAGACATATTTATAAATGGTTGCATGTAAATGTATCTATAGCATGCCATGTGTGCGGATCTCTTATCCAGACAGGAAAGTCAAACTGTGTCCCCAATGACTAAGGAGTTAATAATAAATCAATACAATCTGATTTGAATAGGCATTGATTTTAGACAAGTCCGGTTTCTGTTTTATACAAGATGAATTGACTGTAGTGATGCAAAACTGGCTGATTTGACCTTTAGACACAGAGGGGAACTGAAAGGCGATGCTGATGACTCCTTCGAGATCCTGAATGGGGATGAGCGACCTCAGGATGGCTCGAATGCGGATAGCTTCTCCTTTGCCTCCTTGAATCAACTGGATCAACAATTCAGAAGAAAACATTGAAAGTGGTCAGCTGTTTGCAGCTTAAAGAGGGATTCTCATGATGATACCGTAATAAAATAAAGAATATTTTGATGTACATATATTGTACAGCCAGTGCATGGAAGTACACTGGCTCTATGAAATATAAGGGACATCTTCCTATTGTTGAGTTACTTTGTATATTAAATCTTGCTGATATATTTCTTCCAAGTGTAACCTTAAAATGAGTCTTACTATTTACATTTATTTGCTTTTTGTTAACTTCTAAATGTTTTAATACATTTTCCAAAACCTCTCAAAGCATTTTGGATAGCTTTTGTTTTGTTTTTTAAACGCAAAAAATGTCCTCGTCTCCCTTGTGTGTCCTCAATGACACTGTAATAGATATAAGGAAACAAAATGACATAATGTGTTGAAGAATACAGTATGGTACAGCGTTTCCGCCAGGGGGGCGTCTTGCCGTCATTTGACGTCAGCCGAGGGCGTCCAAAATAATTGGATAATAATTCGAGAGAAGATTGAGAGTTTTTATCACTTGAAATGACGAAAAGGAAAAAGGACACCCCTCTGTTGGAGGGGCAAAGGAGTCTGGTGGGATTATTTTCGCCGCCAGCAAAGCGTGTTCCTGTGACGGAAAGTGTACTGCCGGTGAGCCTTGGCGGGGGGGTGCTAGTGGAGCACGCGCGTGAACTGCGAGTGTCGGAGCCTCGCAGCGACAAAACTGAGGCTCCGTGGTAAACTGTGGTAACATGAAGAGCCGTTTAGGAGCCGAAAGAGACGGAATTCCCGTCACTAATACGTAAAGAGATAGTATCTATAAGGGACGGCTCAATTCAAAACCCCGCTCTCGGGGTCGATGCCCTCTCAGCCCTGGTCTGGCGGAAACACTGGTATGGTACAACTAATGTTATGGAGTTTTATCAGATGCATCATTGAGCAAAAAGAACATTGTTTCAGTCAGGAATTTGGCCCTAGGTAAAAGCATAAACGGATTCTTCTTGTGTTTGTTTGATTTGTTCTGGCTCATTATTGGAAAGGTAGTTTGCAGACTTTTTCCATTAGGCTTTATTGTTTGCGACATCTGCAGATATTGATGTGGAAAAGCACTCACATGCATCTCTGGAGCACAGCGGCCCAGCAAGTCGATGAGGGCAGAGTAGAAGGTCATGATGGCGTGCCCCATGTGAATGAGGTCATCATTATTGTCCTGGACAACATCTCTGTTGGTGGGAAGAATCATAACGGTCAAAAGCTTGTCCAAAAACTGAACTAAATCATAAATCATCATTGCGTTATGATTGATTATCCCTAAATAAAGCAGCCCATTAGCGAGATAAGATCTTTTCTCCTAATTTCCAATGACATTCATATTTATTCAAAATTCTTACATTTACAAAAGAAAAAGGAGCAGATGTCCGCTCCCAACCCAAATAAATCTTGAACATCGCATTATAATAATAATCAGTGTCATTAAACTGTTCCATTGTTGTTGTTAGCCTATTTAACCTGTATTTATCAAGGGAAGGCTGGCTGAACACAGAAGCTGCATTCCAGCCAAGAAATGCTCCAAAAAGCCTGAGAGGAAATGACTCGCTTATTATCATAGGGCATAACAACAGTGCTGAATAGGCTTATACCCAATACAATATTTCACTACACTTTGGTGGCTTTCAATGCTGTTAATCATTTACAAATCAAATGTGATGCAGTTAAACTGTCCGTGGTCCTTTCTACTGCAGATTTTTCAAAACAGTAAAGTATACATTAGACACCATTAGGTACACCATTAAACAAATTGACAGAATCTCATTTGTTTTGCACGCAGCATTATCAAATTGGTGATACCCAGTTTGGATCAATTGGGACAAAAAATCCTTTGGAGTACTACTAACAGTGCTCTGTTGGACTGGTAGGTGGTGCAAGCTCCGTCCATGGAAGGGTCCTCTGAGATCCTGATGGCTTCCTCCATTGCTGATAGGAGGCCGTTTCCCCCGTCCCCTCGCAGGGCGGGGCCAAAACACTCGGGCCGACGAATCAGCAGCCTCAACACCAGGTAAGCATTCTCCTCTACACTCTCACCTGTGGTTTCAGAAACACACAAGACAAAACTCAAAATTCATCCACAGAAAACACACTGGACGCTGCACTAGGTCAGAAACCAGAGGAGACTGTGAAGTCCACCGTAGACAGACAACTTTTGGACAAAATGTACTCTCCATTAAAGGCAGCTCATTTTGGAATAGCCTCCCAACTGAGATACGGGATTGTCCCACTCTCAATAGTTTTAAAGGTCAACTTAAAGAATGGTTGAGAAACAACCAGACGTGCAATCACCGCTAAATGCACTTTAACACAGGGGTATCTTCTCTTGCACTTTATATGTCGTTGCTGCTACATTGTACTGCCATGTGGTAAATGCTTGTGTATGCTGCTCTTGCTCTTCCTGCATATCATGTATTTATTTTTGCTATGTATATAAATGTCATGTTCTTATGTTGTATGTGACGGGACTGCGGATGGAAATTAGCTCAAAGCTCAAATCCGGCTCATTTACACTTGTAAGCATTATTTTGTTTTAAAGTGTTCATCAATGTGCATTGTCCCGGTTCAAATAAACGATTAAATGAAAATGAAATGAACAGGTAGGCTGGGGGCACATTTAAATTCGAGGTGGTAGGGTATTTGTTTGACAAAATTCTGACAGAGTAATTGATTTTATAGGAAAGGAAATCATTAAACTGAAAACACACCAAGAGGATCATTAGAATAATGATACCCTGATCAATATATGCACAGCTTATAGACTGAAGTGGTACAGCTGAAATCACTTGGTGTGGAAAAACCAATGCAACGTTGGGTTAACTGTCAACACCCTCAAGGACAATTTGAACTGATGCCTTCAGGGCACTGCTGCAGAGCAAGACAAAAATCAATGGTAGAAAAAACAGAGGTAATTACCTCTGCAAACAGCCTCTTGTGCTTTTTCAACTTTGCTTCAGTGCGAGAAAAGCAATAGCCAAAAACAAATATCCACGATAGTTATTGTGTTATTTAAAGACATGAATTATAGTTGAAATTGGACTGCCAAAATAAAATCACTTGAACGACAAATGCTCAAAAATAATATTCGAGCCAACGATTTACTCTAGGGTAAGGGGAAAATAAAGCTTATACAATTAGTTACTTTCTCAATGATAAACTGACTGGACAAATGTATCATAAATGTCATATTAACCATCTCAGGATGTTTTCTAAAAACTATTGGTAGAACTAACAGGTTACCATTGCAGAAGACTGCAAAACGCAGAAAGTCCAGGTATCGCTCGCCCTCCACAGGGTTCCACCCGATGTCAGGGTAGCCTTTAGCTACTAGCATCGGACAGCTCCGGAGACCACAGCCAGCGAGGTACTGGACCACCTGGAAAGCAGATTACACAAACATGGTCATTGCAGCGACTTGACAAATAATATGGTACAGCACAGAAAACTAAGATTTCCTAGACCAGGGGTGTCAAACTGAAATACAGTGGGAAAAAATTTAAAAATCGGTACTCGTCGAGGGCCGGACTGGTTCAATGTTTATTGCAAAACGTATTGAAACATATTAAACCTGGAACTAACAAAGCTTAAATTATTGCCTATAAAAACAACATGAAACATTTAATAATCAGTTGCATTCATTTCTTATGGCTCTATCTGCAGATTTTCCGGAGTCATTTCTTATGATTACATTTTTCCACAGGCCAACAACAGCTTCAAAAAAAACAATTTCCCTCAAAGAAAAAAACAAACATGCCCTGTTGTCATGAGAGAAAAAGTGCAAAAGGAAACATCCATTGAAACTCAGTGTGCTGCTCTGTGATGCTAGCTCAAGCCAGATACTTGGCATCTCATCTTGGGTGTAAGTTCATCAATGTTTGGGGTCAGGCTCTGAGCTGAGGAAATCCTCAGGATTGAGTGAAGGTGTGCGTGTAATATACCGGCGGGCCAGATCTAATAGTAATTAATTGATTTGGCCCCCGGGCCTTGAGTTTGACACATGTGTCCGAGACAGTGATGGAGCCACCCAAAAATAAAATACAGATGGATGAAACAGCTAACTAATATGCAACAGCATGTTCATAACAGACCAGAGAACTTACCTCTGTATATATGAAATAAAGGAGACTATACCAGAAGTACTGCAGAGACAGACTCACCTTCTCTAGGTCAGGTTCCCTCAGCGCTAAGGCCAGTTCGTTATTATCCATAACCGAGGCTGCTGCCACATCCAGGGGAGTGGCCCCACGCATGGATGGGGAAGCTAAGGGACAAAGTTATGAAATAATTGAAACACCAAATCATAAACTATATAGAGAGTAAGGACGATATTGGGGGTACTTTATTGAGGGGGCAGGATCCTAACACCAACACAAGGTTGTTTTCTTAAGTGCAAAATAATGCCCTAATAAAGTAAAGAGTCAGACCTAATAAAACATATCGGTGTAATTCAATACTAACAACAGCCCTGCCATACAGTTTTACTTTGTAGACTACTCTAGTGAAACTTTCAATGTTAAATAATTAAAAGTAAACAGCTTTACAAACCATGGTCTGGAAAAGTAGCCCGAGATCAATAAACGCCTCTCTCAAAAACTAATTATGTAGAGCAATGAAGCATTCGTGCACAACATTATACACTTATAGGAGTTTCTTGTAAGAGAATAAAATGTACCTAGTCCAACACTGCTGTTTTCCAGCAGGTAGCTGAGATGGTCGAACAGGGCCCCCTGATTGTGACGGCTGATGCGGCAAAAATAACACAGGAATCGACAGCAGCTGGCCACCATCTTGGGAAAGGTAATCTCCTAACAAAAGAATAATCAATGCATAGATCAAAACAAGATGTGAGGAGGTAAGGGTTCAACTGACTGTACTGCAGGGAATATTGCTCCATTCATAATTTAGTTATAACACGTTTTTTTACCTCCAGCTTTTTCAACCTTGAATAATACACAATGTGTGCACTTACTCAGAGTTCAGGGTCATTTCAATTCATTAACTTGTATGACAAATAAAATATCTTTAATCATGATGAATGTACTTTAAGAATATGATCTACTGTATGAAACACCAATAGTGTTTAAATAACCCACTAATGTAAAGATCTGCATCTCCAAAGGATTTATCAATACGCTTCAAACCGCTCACCTTTGATTCCCCTTCTCCAAGAACATTAACCATCACCTCCATCACGGTCTCATGAATCCCCAACGCCCTCATTAGGTCAGGGTGCTGATAGAAGACCTTGTTATTCATTATGTCTCTATACATAAAAACACAAACAAAGAAAATGACGAAGAAAAAGATGGAAATATGTTAGAAAGCAATCAAGCAAATCCATTTCGCATGACAAACGTCCCCCTACCCTAATCTTCTGATCATCAGCCGCTCCTCTTCCTTCCCCATGCGGACGCTGAGGAGGGAGCGGATCTGGCTCAGAGAGGACAGCAGAGCCATGGTGTCTTCTACCGAGGCCTGGCTGATGGTGTAGGCTCTGCGGAGGTGCTCTGCCATTTGGCCCCCGAGGCCCTGATACTGGCGGTGCAGCAACGTGAAGACGGCCCTCACCAGCTCAGGGTCCTCCATCTCCGTCTCCTGAGCCCAACGCCCCATCGTCTCAGAGATCAGCGTTTTCAGGGACTCTGAAGCAGGAAATAATTAAGTTACATTTAAAAAAGGTAATTGTCCAACACAATCATTTTATAGGACCTGCTACAGAAGATAGATTTCCGGCAGTATTACACATTTTTAAAAAAAGTCAAAAATGTACAAAGTCATTGGAAAACATTAGGTCCTATATTATTTTTCCATCAGAATCAGAATCAGAATCCCTTTATTAGTCTCACGGAGGGGAAATGTGCGTAGTTACGGCAGGAAAAAGAGCCACAGACAGCTTAATGTTACATATGTTAAATATGTGACATGCATTTAAAAAAAAAGTACTAAGTTATGATATAATAACAAATATATAATAAAAAGTTACATAATTAAAAGAAATACACATCCTCTAACAGTTCTTAGGATTTAGCAGCCAGGTATATATTACACAGTTATTAACGGCATCTATATATATTGCACATCTAGCACATATTGCACATAGGTGGTTGGTATTTAACAGCAGCAAGTTACACAATTTACAAAATACACACCTTGTAACAGTTCTAAGGATTTAACAGCCAGGTATATATTACACAGTTATTAACGGCATTTATATATTGCACATAGTTTGTTGGTATTTAGCAGCAAGGTGTGATATAGTCTGTGTTGTGGTTTAAGTGTAATTATGATATCTCACTTTTATTGTCATCACATTTAGCACTAGTATTAGTCATTTTACACTTTATGTTTATGTTGTTGTTGTATTTTCTTAACAATCTATGGCCCACACATTTCCTTCAGGATTAATACATTTCCATTTGATCTTATCCTAGATGCACTTACTGGCACTCTGCGGTCTGCTCCCCTCCGCTTCTATTGGTGTCTTTCTCAGTCCAGTGACTCTCGCCACTAGACTGAGAAGCCGATCTTTAAGAGACATCTCAGCATCCTCTTGATCCTCTGTGTCGCTGTCCAACTCAATGCCTGCACAATAAGATGAGAATTCCTCAGTGGCAATCACTGTAAGTGCCTCCTCAGAGCTCTTCCACAGTGACCTGGCTCAATAAAGGTTTATATTGGTATCAGTAAATGATAAAACAATGTTCCAACCACAGTGTGTGTTGAGGAGGTGATGGAAGTCTTGCAGGAGCTGCTGGATTTCTTCCGGACACGGACAGTTCTCCTGCTGCTCTTCCTCTCTGAAGTTCAGCAGAATGTTGATCTACAGACGGGTCACATATTCAACAAACATTACAGACAATATTCTGTACCACTTTACAATAAGACTAAGGGTTTACGAATAGTTTGTAATTCATTTATTAATTACGTTGTGAACACTTTATAAATCATTAATAAGCTTTTATAAGACATGAGATAAACAGGGCACCTGTGACCGGTTGCTTGCCAAATAGTGAGCCCACATTTATCTGTACTGCTCAGTCTTATATTGGCTACTTAGCTTACTTCGTCTTCTTCATCAGCCAGCATCCTTGGTATCTGTTGTTCACTGAGTTGATTCTCGCTAAGTAGCCAATATAAGGCTTAGTCATCTTGCCAAATAGTGAGCCCATATTTATCTGTACTGCTAAGCCTTATTAATGGTAGTAACTCATTGTTTTACACTTTACAATAAGGCTCCCTTTTGGCAACTATAAATGTTAGTAACTCATTCATAAATGGTCATAAAGAGATGTCAAGAAACATCAAGATGGAAGGGGGGGAATCAACTCAGTGAACAACAGATACCAAGGATGTTGGCTGATGAAGAAGACGAAGTAAGCTAGGTAGCCAATATAAGGCTTAGTCATTTTGCCAAATAGTGAGCCTGTGTCGATGTATGAAAACTATGTTAGAACTGGTTTATAAATGGTTCTTAATGATTAATAAAGTGTTTACAACCTAATTAATAACCTAATTATAAACCCTTTATGAATCTTTTATTAGGGTAGTCTTATTGTAAAGTGGTACCCAATATTCTAATAAATTCCACAGTTATATTGTGAACCGATATATTGACCGAGCATATCTTTAATGTATTTTAGAGTGCATAGCTCCTGGAACAAGTTTTATTTTTCTTGGATAATTCATCATTTGAACTCAACCTGCTCCTGTGGAGGTGAGCGGAACTCCTTGGTCTTGCGGGCAGTGAGGGCAGCTGACATGTTGAGCGCTTGCATGACCTGGTTGTAACGAAATCGTTGGTTCTCCTGCAGCTGACCCACAAAGTTGTCAGAGAAGGCAACCACAGCTTCCACCCTGTGGCGCACCTGGCAATCACACAGGTAGGAGAGCAGGTGGCAGAGCTGGAGGAAGGAATATAACAACTTATCTCTATCTGAAAAAAATAACATAAAGGAAGGAGAAAAAGAACATTAAAGAAATATGAATATTCTTTCACCTCAAGTTTGACAGCTTCTGGAAGCATCATTTGAAGAAGTCCTTGATGAGGAGTGACGTCTTCTTTTACGTTGCCTCCTGTGCATTGTTCGTCGTCATCATCAGCAGCGTCTTCTTCCTCCTCTTCCTTGTTGAGGGTTTCGGCATTTATGGAGAAAACTGCAGGTTCTATTAGTTTCAGAACTTTCCCCAGATCCTCATCCCCAAATACACCCAACACCAGTAAGTTGTAGAACAGCTTGATAAGGGGAACTAGCAGGAGCTCAAAGCTGCCTCCTACAGGATGCCTCACATTCTGCCCCACAGCCCACACTCCAGCAGTCAGCATCTCCACAGTCAGGTCCTTCAGTATGTCCAGAGGGATTTCTGGGCTGTCTGTGCAGGTTATCTCACCTGTACCATCCGCTTCCAATCCACCACTCCTGACAAAACAAGGAGAGGAGAAACGCATCTGTGGTTTAAGGGATGTGCTGAGACCAGTGCTGAAAATGCCTTCTGGAGGTGGACTATTCCCTGCATTAACACCATAAGCAGGGCTGGGATAAAGGGTGATTTCTCTGGTCTGGTCAGTCATAGGCACAATGTACTCATGGTTCATCATGTGACATGCAGTGGTGTGGCTGCTCAGGTGAACCTGAAAAAAAAAAAACATGAAAACGTTTTTATTATCCTCTAAAGACCAACGTTTCCTAACTCTTATGTTAAAGGTAGGGTAGGTAATTCACTTCAGAAACACTTTTTGTTATATTCCATGGAATGCTCTTAACATCCTGATAGCAATGAATATATTAAATGCTTTGACAATAAATACATAAAACAATTTCATCTGTGGAAGCCGTGGCGCTGTAAAAAGCACGACCAATCATTTCAGCCGGCCCGGCTAAAATAACTGGATGGCCTACCTGCCTGTCAGCCTTCCATCTCGTGCACAAACTTATCTCGTGCCCTCACGCACGTTCGTGTGTGTTGGAGGAGGGGCTCTGTAAGGAAGTCTGAAGGAAGGGGCAGATTTTTCCGGTTGTGTACTTTCAAATTTTAGCGCACTCGAGCTGGTTTCTCCATTCTTACCTACCCTACCTTTAATGAATGTAACCTTAAAAAAAAGATACAAATTCAAACAAGCAATTACCTGCATGAGAAGCTGGTAAAACGCAGAGCGGAGTTGACCAGGGAGGTTGGGATCCTGAATGGCATGAAGGAGCTGGGATTGGTCAACATGACTGCAGAGGGCGTGGCAAACTCGAGTGTTTCCAATGGTGCATAAAGAGCAGTAGAGCAGGAGAGTGTGGTGGTGAAAGGTCAAGAGGTCATCCAGTTCCGACAGCTCCAAAATGTCAACAGACCTAAATGTCAAAGACAAGATGTCAGTGTTGTTGCTTGCTCAAGATCAAGTACATTTAATTAATTAATTGTGGCACCACATTAAACAGCCTGTTGCATATTTTTTTATCAAATAAGTGTTTGCTGTCTGGTGCTTTTAGGATCACAGTGGAACAAAACACATGTCAGATTAAAGCAACTAATGCACAACTTTCTGTGCACTTAAATCTGCAAGCCCAATTCCAAAAACATATTTATTCCACCTGTTTTCATCGGGGATGTGAAGGGTCATGACCTGCAGGGGCTCATGGCATTGGACCCTCCAGCCATGGCGCTCATCTGGCCGATCCACCATCACCTGTAAAGCACGGTCCGGTACTCTGGTCCACGACACCGGGTCGAGATGCTGCACCTGAACCCTCGGAGGACACTGAGGGGTGGCATTCCTTCTTTGGCTGCGAAGCAAACCGGCTGACAGTGGCATCACATTCTGAAACGAGAAGACGACAAATAAAGGGAAATGTGTAACAGACAACTTCACATGTATGAAAAAAATAAAACGGAGAAATAGAATAAACTTGACTTCAAAAGAATAGAAAGTCTTAAAACCCTGAAATATTTAAAAACTGCCAATCAGTCAACATCATTTGGTCCAAATGTCTTAAATATGTTGCTTTTTCGTATGATGCTAAAGGGAAGCAAACAACACAATGTCTCTGAAAGGATTCAAAACAAAAAGTTCCTTTACCTTGGTGCTCCCCAGTTCAAACTGAAACATGTTGCTGGTGGTGGGCTTGACGAAAACAGCAGGAAACAGCTTCGTACTGGCTTCCACCTGATTAACAGTGAGAAAAACATCCTCAGTTTAATAATACAACGCTCCAAGTTAAACATGACTCACTATAATTACTTTAATTAGTACAAGTAATTAGTGTAAGAGACATAGCTCAATGAGTTTAATGTGTTTTTAATTAAGATTAATATACAAGTATTACATTTCACAAACACAATACTGATAACTATGAACAAATCAAATAGATCCTGTGCAGCGTACTTGGTAGAAGGTGGCCATCTCCACTCCGCTGCAGGTAAAGGTGAGCAGCCCGGTGGCCGTGTCGACTGAACATCCGATTTCCAACCCCGTACTTCTGCGACTCTGGGACAGGCCTGTTGCCTCTCCAGCACACACCATGTAACAGTTACACCGCTTCACACTGTACAAAAGAATAGGGATACGCTTAATTAGCAGTTTGCTGATAACTTGTCATGAAAACTCAAATGGAACACATTTTCACAAGAGTTAATAGCATTGAAGTTCAGTAATGTTTAGTTCTTCAGTTGAAAAGTAAATCGGATTTCATAACAGTCTGTGATTATGGTGTCAAGAGGATAATTATGACACTATCATCTCTCACTGCAATTAGTATTTAAATGTGAGGTTAAGTTCCCCAGACTGAAAGTATGAGAGTTGTGGTGTTTACTAACCTTTCCTGGACTTTGCCACTGTCATCTCCGAGGGTGACGGTTACAGTGAGGGCATTGTCGGTGTCAAAAGTCACGTCGTGTTGATGAAAGTCAGAGGTCACCCAGCCTGCCCACATATTGAACGCCTCCTGGCCCGGAAGAACCCTCACGGAGTAGTAATACTGAAACACAGAGGGCAGCGGGTGTCACTGCTATTTGCATTCCATGTCTCTTTTATGGCTATTGAATATCTGTTGGGAAATAATTTGCCCTGCATGTCCTCCTTCGCCCTCTGACGCAGCTGACCAACCTTGAGCAGCCGTTATCTCCCTTAAGGAGGAGCTGCCCTAGCATATTGTTGATGTTGCCAGTTTATGACCGGGCAACTTCGGTCAGAGATAGTTATTGCTGTGGGACACCTGGAACACATCCTTCTCGGGGTGTACTGTAGATGACCCGAGCCATAAGCGACAACAAATGTGATTCAGTGTCCTTAGCTGTTTAGTCTATCTATTGAAGAATGACTCTGAACTAGTTAAAACCTGGAACTACAGGAGGGTTCTTCAGAATTGATTGTGGCATCTCAACCGTGTGGTCAAACCGTGGCCCGTGACATGTCTTGTGAATTCTCCGGCCGAAGCTCCAAATAAACCGTCAGTGTTTGCCATCAAAGCTCCAGCTCTCCTCGTGCCTCTCTGAGTCCTGACTCCAATTGCTTCAGAAGTTTCCCCCACAATATCCACCAGAAAAAAGCTTAAAAGCTGCACTCTGTATGAACTTGAGCCCTGCAGAGCAATTGGTTTTATTTAGGTGCACTCTGAGGTGGCAGGGAAAGTTTCCTGTCATTAATGATGACGGGCATTAGTGAATAACTAAGAAATAACAACAGAAAAAGGCGTTGTTGTTCTGTGGTTATAATAAGTAAAAATGATAAAAAAATAAAAAGCCTTACTCTGGAGCTTTGGATAACATGATCATCTTTGTCAACTACCACATCTTCTAGAAGCCGAGCAGATGAGTTGCTGCCAACGAGGTCTGGTTTGGTCCTCTTCAGCATGAACCTTGCAGAAGAGAAACTCGCATAAAGTCGTACACAACACAATGAACTTCGCAGATAAAGTGTGCTTGTGGTAAGGCAGACAGCTTGTTTGTTTATTTATCATTTTGTTTTTCAAAACCATGTCATTTTCATTACTTGGTAGACAAAGAAGATAAGCATACAAAACATAACATATCTAAATAACTGGTACATTATTATTTAACTAAGAAAACACTAATGACCCATATCATTTCGGTTTATTCTTCCATAATCCAAATAATATGCATTTGATCAGATATTATAACAGTTTTAGTTTCGCTTCAACCTACCGCTGTTTCAATCTTGATGTTTTGTCGTGACTATGATCCTTATGGTTGAGCTCATCTCTTGAGCCAGCAAAGCTGTGGGCTGACTTCATCAGCACTTCAAAGTCGGAGTCCATCTCCTCCTGCTCTTTCCTTCCTGAAAGGACAACTGGAATTAATTACAGCGAGACACTGGGGAGCTTAAGCAGAACAACACATCAAGGTCATTATTGAAGAATATCAGTCATCTGGATAGTGGATAATGGATAACTGCAAATAACAGCTACTCACTGCTCGGACACTAATTCTGTCACACACTTTTAATCTTGTAAGAGCTTCGTATTTTTACATCATGGGTAATGTCATGGTTTTTGAGCTTAATGTGAACCAAACAGCTCCTTTTTGTAGTCCTATGTGAAGTACTCGTGAGTTTTCTGTGGTTGACACACTGTATTTGATATTATATGATGCAATATCACCTGAACCTGGAGAGAGAGAGTTGGAGGCGGCTGGAGGAACCCCCCCCCGCTGGGCTTGTGAGGACGGCAGCACATTGGATGGACATGCTGAGCCGGTAAAAGCCCATCTCACTGCTTCCACCGTGGTGTGCAAACATCCGCTGGGAAACCCTCAGGCTGGATAAGGAATCCTTTGAGCCACTGACTCTGGTGACCTTGAATAAGATTTGAACAAGATTTTGAGGATCAGTGCTGTCAATTAGCCAGTGCTATGAGCAACTCTGGGTCCCACAGAGCCACTGCAGCACACTACATCCTTGAGAAGACATATTAACAAAGCTGCTGGGTAGAAAAAACCCTATATGTGACCCGCTCTATCGAAATCAGTCGGAAGTCGCAACAGCTCATTTCAAAATAAACGTGGATTTGCGTAAAAAAAATAGTTTTTCGGGTGTTTTGTTTGATTTTAAATAAACAAAGTCTTGGCTTTCAGAATATGAAACTTTTATTTCCAAAATCACACGATAAATACATTTTTGAAGCTTGTAAAGGGAAGGAGGCGTGTGGTGCAGTGGGTTGTGCGTTGGTGTTCGGATCAGGGGGTCACAGGTTCAAACCCCACTGCAGTCAGCATGTCGGTGTGTCCCTGGGCAAGACACTTCACCCCAAATTGCTCCTGTGGAGATTGTCCACAGTATTGAGTATGTAAGTCGCTTTGGATAAAAGCGTCTAACAAGTGACATGTAATGTAATGTAATGTAAGAAGAGAGGCACCTCTCACTCGCACCCTGCTCTTCCGCAGCGCAGCTCCCCCTCCCTCCGGCTGAAATTATGAATATAAGGCGTATAGTAATCATAGATAACACGGCAGGGTCCGTTACAGTTTGTTTTCATCTGATTTCAAATAAACAAAGTCTTGGCTTTCAGAATATTAAACTTGTTTTGGCAAATTCAGATGATAAATACAACTTTGAAGCTTGTAACGGCATAATTACAAGCGGAGAACGGAGTTATTTTACGTCACAGCAGGCATAACAACAGCCGGTGTTTCTCATGAGTGTTTTCCCCGGGAAACAAACACAATACACACAAACGCAAAAATACACAAACACACCCACACATACATACACACACGAGCGAGCTTCCCCCAGACCAGTAATCCAAACGAAAATATTTTCCCTCCGTACTACTTTGATAATTTGCTCCGCTAATAATCAATCAGATCGATGGATTCCAGAGAAGAGGAAACTTTGAAGGCCTTTTTCTCAAAATGATGACTCGGTGCTGGTCATTATATAATGTGACATATTTTGCTTAATATTTGGAGTAAAACAACAATCCTGATATCATTAGAAAGCTAGGAATCTCCTCTTTCCAACAGTGTATACAACTCAATGTGTCTTCAGGTCAATGCGACTGATTTCGATAGAGCAGAGGCCTGTACTACGAAGCTGGTTCAACCTAACCTGGATATGTTTGAGTTAGCCGGTTGGCCCAATCCAAAACATACGCGCTCTGGCTAAGCTGTACTACGACGCTGGTTATCAAGTGGATCGCTCAAGCCGCCGTGTCCTATCTAGTTAGGTGCGCGTTCACATGAAAGGGGTGGTATTTGGAGCATTCGACCAATCTCAAACACGGACAAGCGTACTGACAGCGCAGCGTCATACTTCCTGAATGAAAAGTGAACTTTAATATTAGTCAAATATGAAGAAGTTAAACTTTAAACATCCATGACTTAAACACTTTATCCAGGATAAAAGCCACATAGCTGCACCTGCAAGGTGAATACAGCTGGTAAAAGAAAAAGTGTTTGAATGCGTACATTAACAGGTTTATGAAATCACTGCCCCGTCCAAGACACGAGTGGATCTGACTTTAATTAGGAGAATTTGACTCGAGTGTTTCGTCAACTTAATGTGTTACTTAAAATAATACTTCTGCATACAGTATGTGACACTGTGAGTGTTGCACGGCCAGATACGGCTCAAGAAGCTGACTCAGATAAGGAAATATATGATACATTATGATGTGATATGATATGATATGAATGATAATGGGACACATCGACGTCTGCACTCACAGTGCCGCGGACTGTACTTAATGTTACTCTGATCCGGTTACTTATGTCGTGGCAGATATTTAAGTAAGCTTTCTTAACGCTAATATTATAATAGTCAGATTGCTCTGAAGATGGGAGGGGATATTCTATTAATTTTCACGTTCACACAGTCAGTTGATTTTGGCCGGCCGTCTTTCCTGCAACGGCAGTTTTTCTGTATTTCCTCTATCCTGTAATATGACTTGATCGCTTTAAACTCCGCACACGGAGCTCTGATTGGTCAGCAGGCGGTGCTTTCACTGAGTTGATCTCTTAGCCTGCCACCTAACCTGCTCCGGAGCAGGTTTGCCGCTCAGCATAAGTTACCATGGAAATCTAGCCTGCTAAAAAGAGAACCAGCGTCGTAGGACCGGAAAGCCCGAGATTTCCCTGAAGTCAGCCGGCTAAGCGAAAATCCAGCTTCGTAGTACAGGCCTCTGGTCACATATGGTACACTCACCTGTAGGTTGTGATCCTCAGGCTTTATGGAGGTAAACTGAGGCTGTTTCCAACTCATCCATAGGACTGGGGCTCTGGCCATGTTGACAGCAAACGGTTCGTAGCCCTCCTGCATGCCGCACACAGCAAAGTACTGCAGAGAGTCAGTGTGGCGACCCAGGTTCAGCCTCCCCACCTGGTTCACTCCAACACTGACCACTGGCAACAGGCCTGGGAAACAAGACAAAACATATTTCAGGACGATAAATATGTATTTTGCAAAAGGGACAGTTCACCCCAGTATCAAAATGATTTATTCTCCTTGTTGTGATCAGTTTCATGTAGGACACACCTGCCAACCATATAACCTGGCAGAAGGAAGCATATTTTACTCATTCTCACCTGTTGGTGGGAGTAGTTTGGTAGAAAGACAATAGTACCTACATGATAGTGCTCACAACAAGGTCTGTCAATTATCTTGAGTTATCCGGTAATCATTTGAAGAAAGAGAATCGAGTACTTCAAGGCAAGTTCGATTTAAGTTGCATGATATATAGGAAAAGGCAGACATCTGTGCAGTTGACAACACTTACACATGACACAAAACAATCTAGGTTAATAAATAGCAGATATGGTAAGAGATTTTGGAATTGTACTGCCATATTAAAACAACTATTTAATATATGCCAGTTGAATAAACACTAGCTTATTCTTTTTAAATAATTGTATAAAGACAAGAACTCTTTCAGACCGTCTCCGATATCAAAGTCCTTGGCAGCCAGCTCCGATCCTCTGTCATTAAACAACACCTCTCCATTCAGTGTGACCATCATGGTGCGTTCAGCCATGTCCACCAGGCAGCCCACCACATCGCCTCTCTGCCAGGGCCGCCCCAGGGGCTCCACACCCTGATGGTACCACTGAGCCTGAAACAAAGACAGGAGTTACAGAGAGTCGCCTCACACAGTAACAGGGAAAGAGTGAAATAACTAACAACTAGGGCTGTCCCAAATACCATTTTTTGGGCTCCGGATATTCGGTAGTAATCAGCAGCGAATATTCGGCGCGAGCTTCAACACGTGTATTTCTGTTTATTCAAGGCATTAATTTTGTTATTCTACAGTATTGTTGTTTTATAGTTATTTGTTAATGTAAATAACCCAATTTATGTTCTTGGAAATTGAAAAGGATATTGTGTTTGTTACTTTCGTTGCAGTTGTATATATGTCTTAAGTGTAATTTGGCTTGGCTTCCTATTTTGTATGGAGATGCTTTTATTTTTGAAGGAGAGTTAGCGCTGTTGACAGGAAGTTGTTGTTGCTATGGAAACAACGTGACGGTCAAAAGGAGCGGAGATTAACGGAGAAAAGTAATATCTACATATAAAGACGGAGAAAGTAAACAATAAAGTTTATGGTTAAGAACTTGTGCCTCTTCGGGGGGCGAAGAGGCACAAGTTCTTACGTTGATATTGGAGATTTCAACAGCGGCTGCCAAAAAAAACAAAAAAAAACGAATATCCGAATAACGAAATTGAAAACCGAATAGTGGACCAACGACCGAATATTCGGATATTCAGGTACAGCCCTACTAACAACTAGCAGATTGAGATACTTACAGCTAGTCGGACTCAAATCAACAGACCCACAGAGGCTGCTTATGTGTTTGTCCCTTATTTTACAAGTGGGAAGTGTAGCAATGCTTTATTTGTGCTGAAATGTTGACAAAATGGCAATGTTTGGCTATATCAAGTGTTTAATCAGAGTTTTAAAATCCTAATTACGGCTGTTTTAATGTTCAAGCGAGTTGAATTCAGATGATAGTCCTGGATGTTCGCTTTCTATTGCCTAATTTCAGTTCCTCTGAAGCAAATTTTACAGACAAGCAGAGAGCCACAGTTCTGTCTTTACAAAATATCCTCTGATCATCCATTATTTATGATCTCAACCAAGCACCAGTACGTAAACAACTTCTGACTTTTTATCACGTTCAGTCAGATTTTAAATTATGTTTACTGTGAGTGTAAATCAAGAAATGTCAGCCATGTTTTCTAATCAGAATGTGAAGAACGGCAAAATGAGGCTGAACACATTTCCCCTGTGCTTGGGGCTTACTGATGTTTTAACAACTTCAAATTTGAGAGTTCTTAAAATGTTCATGTGAACTATCACATTTAAATGTCTCACCTCAAATCCATCAAAGACATACGCCTGGTCATCTGAGCCGAGCTCTTTATCTGGAGCACAGTCCGGCCGGGCCCAGCCCACTTTCATATTCCCAGCAGTCACTATTTCAAATTCAAAGTACCACTTCCCCCGAGTCACAGAGAAAGATTTATCTGGTCTGAACACTCTGCTTTTCTCAGTGGGAAAGGGACATGGATTGGATATCGTGGCTGTAAACCCAAGTAAAAGAAAATATATATTAGCTGCCAAATAATCACTTGTTTGCATTACATTTCAATTCAATAGAGAGAATGAATAATACATCTATAAAATGGTGCAGAAATAATCTGTAATAGTTTACAAGTTGGCAAACAGTTAACAAACAGAGCCCTATCTTTATTTAAAGGTCACCTATCATGCTATTTTTAGGCAATAGCATAGGTCTCAGATATATAAAAATATATAAAAAACATGTCTATGAAGTGTTTTGCACAAAATACCAAACAGATCACCCATTCTAGCCATGGCTCATATCCCTCTATTTCACTTCCTGTTTCAAAAGTGCTGATTTGGGGTATAAAGCTTTATATGAGCTCATGCGGGAGATTCTACCGGCAGATACTGTCTAAACTAAATCCTGCCGTGATGAAACGCCATATCATGGATTATCAAGGATTATTTCTGAAACAGTATGGAGCTCAAAGGCTTTCTCTCTTGCCGGTTATACCACAAGGTGAGTTCCTTTTTATTTCCTGCTTCTTCACACACATGCTCTGTGCAGTACAGGTTAGCTCTGAGTGTTAGCGATGCTAATGTAAACACCGACCATATTACGTCCAAAACAGTCGGGCATTGTTTCTGATAGCAACGTTTCTGATAGGGCCGTGGGTGTAAAGCCAGCCTACATTTCCGATATTACGTCATATCGGACGCAAATCTGGATCAGCTCCGTTGTACCCCCGTTTTTAGAGATTTGGGTACGGAGGAAAAGAGAGGGGGTTTTATTTTCTGACGCTGCGTGAGTTCCCCGACACACCGAGGACACATATTTATGTATAAAAGACATCAAAAAGTGCATTTTACATGATAGGTCCCCTTTAAGGAGCATGCACTATCTTGTACTTTCACAATAAACAACAGTGGTATAATAGAAAATGACAAGGCTTTGATACACACTCTTTTCCTGGTTGAGAGGCTCCAAACTGTAACCGTAGGCCAGCAGGGTGCACACACTCTCTCTGACACTCTCCCGGCCCACTCTCCAGCTCCTTTCATCAAGCAGGCAGTAGGGCAACAGGTACGGGCTCCGCTTGGCTTTCACATCCTAAGAACACAGAAACAAAGAGCAAATGCACATGACACGGAGCAACTACACATGACACGGAGCAACTACTGTACATGTGGAAGAAAACAGTAGCCTTGTTTGTGTGGCAGAGCATGTTGTGACAGAGAGACAATGTACAGGGAATTGTTTTTTTATTTACAATATTCTAAATGCCAGCTAAATGTAATAAGTTGTGAAACATTCTCTACAAAAGTTCAAATGAAATGTATCCTAAGCAGTGACTGGGCAACACAATAATACAGCACAACATATAAACCTGTTGGGGTGAATGGGTCCATCCCTGCTTGATACGCTCTCTGGCCCACACGTTGTGATTGTTCTCTGCCAGCAGGTCGACCACCTCCTCGTGGGCTGGGCTCAGAAACACCTGGAGAGGGTCTATTGGAGAGGGTCTGTAGCCGCTGGGCTGCTCGTACCTGAGAGAGGGAATTAGAAAATGGATATGAGCAAGTCAAGATCAGGAATGACACTATGTAGTTAAATCATTGATTATGATTCAGTAGAGTGGTTAAAATATTCATTAATAATACCTTAGGCAAACTTTTCATGAAAAGATAAACATGAGACAACCCACAGTGCACTATTTTAAATAAATGAAACCCCTTCCACCAATTACTCCTATACGCGACGGCTCAAAACAAACAAAATGAATCAATGTGTGAACAAAGACTTTATTAATCATTATAAGGAAAAATTTCAAAACAATGTGTTCTACTTTTATCAAAAGTCACAGTAAGGATTTTAGAATCTTTTTGAAAAAACACATTGCGTTTTAACCTAATACTTTTTTATCTTATGACTCAAATTCAGTGGCGAGCCGTGAGCTTTATACCTAGGCCCTCTGACCCCCACCCCTTCCCTCGAAAAAAAGGAAAAAAAATAGTTATTACGTCACAGCGTATGCTTCAGCGGAATATCAAAACAACGGCCCAGGGTGCAAAACGCATCAATGACAGCGACCCTCTACCACACAAAACGACACCTGTGAACCCAATTTGTGTTCTTTGACATTGAAAATGATATTGCATTGTGTTTCTTACTTTCGTTACAGTTGTATGTCTTAAGTGTAATTTGGCATGATTTTATTTTGAAGGCGAGTTCACGCTGTTGACAGGAAGTTGTTGTTGCTATGGAAACAAGAAAAGTTTCACAGCGGGCGGAACTTGTCATAAAGTCCGCGATAATGAAACCCACCCATTTAGAGGGAAGATATGATTGGTCAATTGTACTGTCATTTGACATTACTCTCTCGTTCAGTTACTATAGCGGGCCCTCTGTGAATCGCAGAGAGGGCCAGACCTTCTTTCATGTAACCCTTCACATTCAAACAGAGACCGAACAGGCAGATTCGAAGGATTTATTTCTTTGGAAATGTTATTTTATTAAATCAAGTTTTTTTTCGGTAAAACTAATGAAAAATATAACAAAAATAATATGAAAAAAAAAATATATTTTAAAAAAAAAAAAAAAAATTTAATGTTTTTAAATATTATTTTTTGGAATATCTTAGGCCCTCACAGAGGGCCTAGAGGGCCCTGACGGCTCGCCACTGCTCAAATTAAAACGATATGCAAACCAAAATATGATTTTAGATGTATGTTAAGAGAAGCCCAGTGAACTCTTCTGCTATGAGGAAATCCAACATTTTAGTTACGAAATAATATCAAACATGTACATACTTGTTGGCTAGTCTCATGTACATGACTTTCTCCTCAGCATGGTCAGCAGTCAAACCAATGTGAAAGCCAAGAGCCAGGAGAGTCCTACAACAGAAAAACAAACAGAAACGTATAAACTTAAATCAAGCATTGAGAGCATTTACAACTCAAAAGGTTTCAAAGTAGTGTGTATTGCAATAATGCAGGTAGTAGATCTCACCTGAGTGTGTCCTGGGCCATCTGAAGGTTCTGGTTCTTCTCCGTCTCCGACAGCTTGCAGAACTCCATCACACACGGATCATGCCTCTTACCTTCATCTTTCACCTGTTTGACAAAAGCTGATATTTCTTACGCTGCAAGTAAAACTGAAGACAGCTGGACACATCAAGTCAATGTTGCTAGTCTCTTATAATGTGTATATATAATGTGATTTCCTTTATGCAATGTGAAGTTGTTTCTGTTTTCTTACAGGTCCATATGTCCATCCAAGATCAATCTTTTCCATTGTCCAGAGTTCATGGATATTCTCAGCGAGTTTTTCTCGGATATCCTCAAGTTGTGGGGGCATTACCACCTGAGGGTAATATGAATTAAGTATAAGGAACTAAACAACATTTTACAACATAAAAGATCAACTTCATATTGGATGCCATGTATAATATCGTTAAATCTAATATTCATAACACGTTTTTGTTCATCTAAAATCACTGGTACAAAAGGTTAGAAAATACATGTTATGTTAAATAAAATAAATAATAAAGAAAGTCAGTTCGACTGATGGTGATTTTTTACCTTGCTGATGTCTACTGGTGTGGGAGTAAAGGTCATTGGACTGGAAGGTACTGAGGGGCCAATGAGCTCCAGTTTCCCCTCTCCTTGATCCAGGATGTATTTCTGACACGGCTCTAACTTCAGCTTGACTCTCGGGAGCAGAGCGTCACAGCATGGCGCAAAACCCGGTGGGGGCAAGAAGCGAAACTCTCCGTGCCGCCCCCCAAACAGGAAGCGGACCCTGATTTTAAGAAACAGGACAAGGAAGACATTAAGAATGACGTTTGCTTTTGACTAATCCTTAAAATGAATGGAAAATGTTTACTATAGGAAAGAGACAGTCTATGAAAAACAAATATCAAATATTAATAAATATTCCTAATTGATTGTTGTATTCATTTCATTTTAAAATGTCATCACAGTTCAATTACAGTTTAAAGAGGTTGTTTGTAGCCATGTTTTTATTTCATCACGGCAAATTAAAGTCCGCTATACACTGCATAATTTGCACTTTAGTTAATGAACTTAAAGGGGACCTATCATGCAAAATGCACCTTTGTACGTCTTTTATACATGAATATGTGTCCCCGGTGTTCCAGGGAACTCACCAAGTGTCAGAAAACACAACCCTCTCTATTTTCCTCCATACCCAAATCTCTAAAAAAGGGGCTGCAACGGATCTGATCAAAACTGATCCAGATTTGAACACTGTCCTGACGTCAGGACAGTGGCGCTACGGCTATTGGGCCAACTCCACCAATCAGGAGGAGACAGCCACGGCCATTGCCGTTCGAAAGCACTGGAGACGCTCTAGTACATATGCCAGGCCAGTAGATGGTGCTGTTCTCACTGAATCTGCCCTTGCTAAAACAGAGCTAGAAATTGTCAAATTGAGCAAAATGAGGCATGGCTAAAATGCATGATCTGTTTGGTATTTTGAAAAAAAAAAAAAGTATAAATATGCCTTATATAGGTATGGTCCTACACTATATTATTCAAATATAGCATGATAGGTCCACTTTAACTAATAATGTCTACATATATTGTCCCTTGTAGAAAAATCAATAAATGAAATAAAAATAAAGGAAAATTAAACAAAATATCCACTACTGACTTGACTCCGGCAGAGAAGCTGACCACAGGATGGAGAAGTCCGTCTGCACTGAAGTTCTCCAACATGCCCTGCACAGGCAGTCCATTGACCCGGAAAGAGATGCAGGGAGCGCTGAGGTCCAGACAGCAGCTGACCACGTCCTCGTCTCTCAGGAGGTGAGGGACGGCCGAGCTCACCCTGCGACCCACGCAGCCTGACATCCAGGAGACACAGCCTTTCAGGTCATTTACATCCTTTTCCTTTTTTTTTTAACATTTATATTTTATTAGACATTTTCAAAGATGTCATAAGGACAAGGACATGGCTCACACACATCACAAACAGAACAATAACATGAAGGGTGGGGGGGTAGGGGGATTACAGTGTCAGTTACCTTTTATGTATGCATATGGCGTTGTATTTCAGGGTTCATACACTTTTTCACCAATGATTTTCAATGACTTTTCCATGACTTCTCCATGACCTTTACCTAATTTTCCATGACCAAAACAATTACTCTTTCTCAGCGGTACCACTGACCATGGTTTATTTTAACATGGAACAGGAAAATAAGGTCTGCATATGAAACATGTTGTGCCTATCTAAAACAAATCAAATAGTAGGCTTACTAGCTTCTACACGCTAGCGCAACTAAAATCTCTCACCAGCAAAATACCTCGTCAGTTAAATGCCATTTTACGTTTCATTACTATACGATACAGTATTTATTATCATTATAGTATTACTATTTCGGCGATTAGATAAAATATAAATTATATTTGATGCAACTTTATTTACATTTCCATGACTTTTCCCAAACTTTGGGAAAAATATTGTTTTCCATAACTTTTCCAGGGCCTGGAATTAGCATTTTGAATTTCCATGACTTTTCAAGGTTTTTAATGACCGTAAGAACCCTGGTATTTATACATGATTTGCTTCATAATATAGATATACTTCATTGTTTCCTCATTATTATTATAATAAAACAAAACATTTATAATAGATAAATAAATAGATAAATATATATATATATATATATATATATATATATATATATATATATATATATATATATATATATATATATACACACACACACATCTCTTCCTTTTCTGATTAATTCACCATTTACAGCCTTTTCTAATGTTTGTTGTCAGCATGCAAGTGCAGCAACACACTTTTGAGACTGAATGAATTACTAAACTTATTTAAATGAAACACAGAAAAACTACTAAAAGTGCAGGCTAGACTCGTCTGAATTGATCTTAATGGTGTATTAAGAAACGTTTGTTTTTTTAGCAACATCACTTTTTGTGTTGACAGAGTAGTGTCTAGCTTTACATATATTAGATTGGAGCCTAATGGTATCAGTTTAGGTTGAGGATATTGGAGAATAAACTAATATTGTCTCCTGGATAGCTTTTTTTCTATTCTCTTGGCTCTTCAATGACTGCTTTAATTGTGTTTAGATTATATTTTGAATTGGGTTTCTTTATCAATTTGTCTCTATGTGTTTAATGTTTTCTGGAAAGCACTTTGAATTGCTGTGTTGTTGAAATGTGCTATAGACATTGTTGGATGGAGACCAGCATAAAAAGCATATTAAATCAAATTAAAAGTATTGTTGCTGCATTCGGTGCAAGCAATATTGATGTTACCGTGGATTTATTATCAATGCTGCCAATTATCTCCATACAGGATTTAAGGAACAAGCAGTTTTCTTTTGTTTATTAATTTTCGCTTATCAATGGAAGTCTGTTATTTCAATAGCTGCTGAGATTTGAAAATAATCAATTTTATTGATTTCAATGAGGTGTGGTAAATCTTCAATGTAAGTCCTATGGGCACAAAATAAAAAGTATAAGAATGAATTTGAACCATTTTGTAACAACTCACTGATGTTTGCTTCAAAAAGTACCCCAGGCTATATGAAGTGATATATTCTTTTTAAAGTTTTAAACGTTCTGTTTTTATTATGGGATCTATATACACCTTAGTGCGTGAAATAATTCAAGATTACAGAATACAAAATTTAAACTGTATCGAGGGTCGTTTTTTTTTTTTTTTAAATCACATCCAATTAGTACTGACTCTCGTACCTGACCAGAGGTGAAGCCCATCAAAGCCGTAGGAGCAGAGGTCGTCTCCCACACCGTTGCCCCCCCAGCCCTCCCCTCCTGTGGGCCGGGGCTGGTAGCCCTCAGTGCGAGCCCAGCCAACGCGCAGGTGTGTGGGTTCAGATGTGAGGAAGGGGTCCACATGATCCACAACCAGCTCATAGTACCACCTCCGATGCTGTGCTGAATCCTCCCCCAAAGCCAAAAAGATGTTTGGCCTCATGCTGTGGTGGGGTGGTGTGCAGAGAGTCGGGAGACAACCAGAACGACAAAAAGACAGAAGATAGCAGGGCCCTTCCTTAGGAACAAGGTGTTATATTTGGTTTGATTACAATGATTTATTACAATATTCATAATTTCAGAGATATAATTAGGACCTACAAATGACAGCATTATGATAACTACCACCGAAAAGAAGATAATCTTGGAGAATTCCATGCAGTGTATGGTCATCTTAGACAAATATATCACCTTGTGAAAAATGCAGGTGCTCAGGTTGAAAGGTATGACTGCAGTAAGTTCAACAACACTGAATTTCTTCGTACCGAATAGAATAATTGAACTGAATATCAAATGAATGTGTAGTCAGCTGCTGCTAGATGCCCGTTTGAGATTTCTCTGCAGTACACACAGAGCATAACTCAACTCTCTTGAGGCACAGCACATTGTATTCTTATGAATGGGTTCTCCTGGACCCACTCTTCCATTAGGTTTTATGAAAATAGTGCCTGTAGTCTTTCTTGCTGATGAACAAACCAGACCAAAAACATAACTTTCTTGGCAGAGGAAAATAAGCAATACAGAACTAACTTCTCATTTCAACATCCCAATATTAAAACTGAAACAGAAATACTAAAGAGAATTGAGGGGCAGAGTGTATGACAAACAATAAGATGGAGACGTATTCGCAAAATAAAGTAGTTCATATAGCGACACTCACCTCGCCCTTGACAGTTTTCATTAAACGATAAGCATGAGAATAGATGGAAGAAATTGGAAAAGGATAGAAAGAGATGTGACCTGGTTAAGAAGGGTCAGAAGATTGGATATAAACAAACTAATAATAGGAAAGGGCATCTGAATGAGTCTACAAAATGTGGAGAAGATAAGAAAATCAATGAGATAAAAGAAACAAGGAATGAAAGAAAAACAGAAGTACTAATGAGCCATGTAGTTGAAGAAAAAGTCAAAGTGATAGAAGGAGAAATGGCTTGAGGAGCAAGAGATCGTTAGGGAATGGACTGAGCAGGTGCAAAGAATATGGAACAAAATAAGCTATACGGCCTGAGGAACAAAATGGGCCGCTGATAGAGAAAAGCATGATAAAAGAAGGCAGCTGCAACGGAAGAATGGGCAGATGGAGTTTAAAAAAAAACAGCTCAAAGGAAAATAAAAAAGGAACCAGTCTACAAGATCAGACTGGCACAGCCGGCCAAAAATATTCAGACAAAATATGATGAAACTGGGGAAAAAAAAATGTCCAAAGCCATACAAGTGAGCCTTCTCACTTCAAGCAAGAAGTATATAAATAAATATCAGACATCTGCGCTCGGACAATAACATCACGTTCTTATCAATTCAGAAAAACCAGTTGGTGCACATATGAGGAGACAATTATCTTTCAATTAACTAGAAAAGATGAGCGATGTACTGTGGAGAAAACTGAAGTGATACTTGTATCAAGCATGTGAACATAATGACATATAGACCAAGATGCACGACAGGTCAGCTATACAAATGCATGAGCAAGTATGAGCACCTTGGGATTGCTACTAGCAATGAAAGGTGCTTTATAAATTGAATTTATTATTATTATTATTATTATTATTATTATGAAAGGAGCTACAAGAAAAAGCCCCATGGTGATTCTCCAAGAGTCAATAAAAGCTATGAAGATGCACTGAATGCAACGCACACCAGTTTTAATGTGCTCTTTTATGCAAGATAACAAATATATGTCTACGATTTGTATATATTCTGTTTGTGTGTATAGTTAGCAGACAACATATATCATGTTCCAATAACTTGTATATACTCTTATTGCACTATTTTTGTATTTACTTACACTATTTTTCCGTTTTATTGTGTTGCACTGTTGGTGGAGCCTGGGACCTAAGATTTTCATCGTCATAACTACACTGTAGCTATGTACGTATGACTATTAAAAGCCTTGAACCTTGCAACACTTCTAAATGCAGACGACTGACTCAGACAAAAGTCATTGTGTTTCGAGATTTCTAAAATTGTACCTGGTGACCTGATTAGCCAGCCGTGTTTGCAGCAGCAGGTCTCTGTCAGGCAGCAGGTTGTCACAGATGAGGTTTTGATTGGACCGCACAGCTACACCATGACACACACACAGTGAGCACAGCACCTCCAGCACCTGCAAAACAGCAGCTCATTCAGCAATAGCTCGATAAACACATGTAAATTATCCCACAATGGGGAACAGATCATTATCTTTCTGTGTTTTTGTGTTAGCCCGAGTTCATTTTGTTTTCAAAACATGTTGAAAATGAATACAAAATAGTGTCACAAAAGTCATCTGAGAATTTGCATTATTGTGTTTCAGCAGAAATACACATCAATCATGACACACGCATTTTGCTTCAATTATTGATAAAGCCTATTACTTTTCCAACTTTAAATGACACAAAAACATTCACCTTGTGGTTGCATCCATGCTTGTCTAGAAAAGAGATGATGGATTGAATGTGTCCTTCTTTGATGGCGTTGAGTGCTTCAGGACTTTCCACTAAGACACAGTGCAGGACCTCCAAGACACCTGCAAATAGATGTTTCTTATTATTGTTTGGAAGATATCCTTTATTTATTGTCGAACATTCTTTACACTGCCATGATGCTGAGATAACATATGGTAGCAAATGTTAGAAATAATGTATAGAAGATTAAAGTGTTTGCAGAAACTTTGCAAAACATAATCTGAATGATTTAAAACAACTCAACCAGTGGCCTGTACTATGAATCCAGAGGCCTGTACTACGAAGCCGGTTCAACCTAACCTGGATATGTTTGAGTTACCCGGCTTACCTAATCCCAAACAAACGCTCTCTCGCTAAACTGTCCTACGACGCTGGTTATCAACTCGTTAACTCAAGCCAGCTTTGCCCTATCTAGTTATGTGCGCGTTCACATGAAAGGGGTGGTATTTGGAGCATTCGACCAATCACAAACATGGAGAAGCGTACTGACAGCGCAGCGCGTCATACTTCCTGAATGAAAAGTCAACTATAATATTAGACAAATATGAAGACGTTAAACTTTAAACATCCATGACTTAAACACTTTATCCAGGATAAAAGCCACATAGCTGCACCTGCAAGGTGAATACAGCTGGTAAAAGAAAAAGTGTTTGAATGCGTACATTAACAGGTTTATGAAATCACTGCCCCGTCTAAAACAAATTACATTTGACTCGAGTGTTTCGTCAACTTAATGTGTTGCTTAAAATAATACTTCTGCATACAGTATGTGACACTGTCTGTGTTGCACGTCCAGATACGGCTCAAGAAGCTGACTCGGATAAGGAAATATATGATACAGATGTGATATGAATGATAATGGGACACATCAACGTCTGCACTCACAGTGCCATGGACTGTACGTAATGTTACGTTGATCCGGTAACGGTTACTTATGTTGTGGCAGATATTTAGGGAGGCTGTGGCTCAGTAGATAGTGTGATGGACTTCGAATCAGGGGGTAGCAAGTTCGAGTCCCACTGCAGTCAGCATGTCGTTGTGTCCCTGGGCAAGACACTTCACCCCAAATTGCTCCTGTGGGGATTGTCCACAGTACTGAATGTATGTAAGTCGCTTTGGATAAAAGCGTCTAACAAATGACATGTAATGTAATTTAAGTAAGCTTTCTTAACGCTAATGTTATAATAGTCAGATTGCTCTGAAGAAGGGAGGTGATATTCTATTCATTTCACGTTCACACAGTCGGTGATTTTTGCCAGCCGTTTCCTTTCTCCTGTAAAATGACTTGATCGCTTTAAACTCTGCACACTGAGCTCTGATTGGTCAGCAGGCGGTGCTTTCACTGAGTTGATCTCTTATCCTGGAACCTAACCTGCTCCGGACCAGGCTAGCCGTTCAGCATACAGTAAGTTACCATGGAGATCTAGCTCGTTAAGCTTCTTTTTTGTTAGAACGTTTTGCAAATTAAAAACAGGAATATTAATTAATTGCCCACAAATCCAACCAACCACAAGAGGCCTCCAGACGGTCCAGCCTGCTGATCAGCCAGTCGAGTGAACTGGAGAAATGTGCACAGTTTACACGGTTTCCCCGGATCAGAGCAGCTGCAGGAGCAAAATCAGGATTTTATTTAAAGGGATTTCAAGACACAGCACTTAGACACAACATAATCCATGTTTTCCATGCAAAACAGAAGAATCAAAAGCATGTTTAGGGCAACTCATAGATAGGTATTCCAGGCCGAATCTAAATGGATTAAAATCTGAAGAAAATGTGTTTGCAATTGATGATAGATGTTGTAGTGTCAGTATAAAAAAAAACAAATGGATGTTGGGCAATCTACACCGAGAAGACGTGTGTTACTCCTCACCCAGCAGCTCGTAGAAACGGTTGAGGATGGTCTCCCACTCTTCTCCTTTGTCACTCTGTGCAACCTCAGCAAAATGAGAGCCACCACTGTAATGGTGTAGACGATCAATACAATCCAGAACCAAATCTATTACACCCTGAGAAGAAAAGAGAACAAACTCAAGGAACAGTGACAAACAATTCACATGTAGGGCCGGTTTAATGATTCACACATAGATTTACCTCTTCTTGAAACATGTTCTGCCGACTCTTCAGCGCTCTCATGTTGTTCTGCTTAGCTTCATGGCTCTGCCCCTCTGATGGAAGCTGGAAATATTTGATTAGATCTTGTAGACTACATGTCACTACCTCCATTGGCAGGCTGACAGATTTGAGGTTTTCTTGTTGGCTTGAACCGTCCAGTTTCCTAGAGATCGATAGAATACTTCATGAGAGAATTTTCTTTGAGAATAATCTGTTGTATTTACTGAATGTTAGTTGTCAGGCCCTTTCAAAATTGGTTGAGCCAAAAGTGATTCCATCTTCTCCATCTCTTTTCTCAGTGCTAATAGAGTGCCACAGTGACGCGTCCTAAAACCCGGAAGTAAACTCCTTCCGGTTCCTTCGACAAAAACCAATGCAATTTCTCCATAGGATTTTGGAAAATAGCTCGAAATAAGGTCTGTGGTTGACACACATTTAAGAGACGGATCACGTTTTGTTCAGCCGGATAATATCCACATGTCTACCCTACTTTTATAATTTTCTAATCATAAATCTAGTCGCCAGAAGCAAAATGCTAACGTTATGCTAAACTAACTACAGCAGGGTCGCTGCTTCAACGTCACGCCAAATTAAGATCCATATATATTGAGGTACTTGCTTTCAAGCAGAACACGGGGAAAAACAAACTTAGAGGAGTGTTTACGTGTTCGGTGTAATGACGTAAAACGGCCTCGACAACTTCTGTAGTCCTATTCAGCCACTTGTTAACAACCATCGTTTTTCAGACACGTCAACTCTTCAGAAATCACCAGTGGGGTCACTGCTGATGTATTTAATGTTGTAGAACAAAACGTGATCCGTCTCTTCAATTTGTGTCAACCACAGACCTTATTTCGAGCTATTTTCAAAAATCCTATGGAGAAATTCCATTGCTTTTTGTCGAAGGAACCGGAAGTGGGAAAAATGCTAACTTACATCCGGGTTTAGGACGTGTCACTGTGGCACTCTATTAAAGTTAATTCAATTGAGTTTCCATCTTTTTAATCAGCATGCCATTATTCCAACAGCTAACTTTTTTTTGTATACAGTCATTATAAGAAATCGCTTAAATCAATACATCTGTAATGGCTGATACATGAACGTGGCCTTGTGAGGTTTTTTCGCTCTCACAAGGACGGCAGGAGACATCGACCTTCACTCGGTCATTTGTGAATACCACACTGATAGAGACATTGTTACAATGACTTAGAGTCTAGACAAGGTATTCAGTACCTGATAAAGCAAGTGAAGAGTAGAGTAGCACTGCGGATGAGTCTGGCAGTGTGAGATTCTTCCCTTTGAGAACGAGACAGCGTCAGCCCATCGTCCATATGACCCTCGCTGTGCAGAATGGCCTGGAAAAACATCATTTGCAAACATTCCTAAGTCTTTCTAAAAGTGAAAATCAGTGCATTTATCTTAAATCAATATATATAGTACAGCGGATAAGCTCTCATATTATAACAATTGTGCATTTTATGAGAAAAGCATGACATTTCTAACATAGTTAGAGCATACCATAAGGTTTATTTTCAGATGTGGAGGGAAGTCAGATTTGACCTGTGAGGACCGTGAGAGGTCAAATCCAAGATGGCCACCAGTCTCTCGGGTCAAATGTTCAAACGCGCTTAATTTTGGAACCAAACATTGTAGAAAAACATTTAAGGTGTCATATCCAACTAAATTAGGGATGCCCAATCATTTGGTGATACTTTTGAGATCGCCAGAATTCAAGAAAATGAATTTAGTTGAAGATAAAGGTAGAAATTGACCAAAAATAAGCTGTCAATCAGTTGAAATTTGCTGTGTGTGTGTGTGTGTGTGTGTGTGTGTGTTCCAACTAAATTAGGGATGCCCAATCATTTGATGATACTTTTGAGATCGCCAGAATTCAAGAAAATGCATTTAGGTGAAGATAAAGGTAGAAATTGACCAAAAATAAGCTGTCAATCAGTTGAAATTTGGTGTGTGTGTGTGTGTGTGTGTGTGTGTGTGTGTGGTATATTCCAGTGGATTTATGGTCACCCAGCGCTAGCATTACTACAGAGACTGGAGGAATATGGCTTTACTTGGCACAGTCTGCATGCTGATGAAAACATTTGTTTTTGTCTTCAAATACATACTAACATGATTGTGACGAGCATCATATTTGTTCCCCGCCCAACTCTCCAAGTCTAAGTGCTTGAACTCCGTGACAGGAGGATGAAGTATGTATAAATGGATGGAACTATCAACAAAACAGCGTTTTATTCCCCAATGTCATATTTAATAGAAAAATAATAATAATAATGTAAACCAAAGAGGGAGATGGAAAACAGTTCCATGTAGAGCACAAACAGCTCTCTTAACCCTCGCTGTTAACAAAGGGCTGCACTCAACTATAAGGTTCACCGCTGTCCCTTTCCACTTATAGAGGGTTGGGGTTCGATTCCCTGCCTGTCCACCTATAAAGCCAAGGTAGCGCAGCTTTTTTTCTGTTCTTTAGTGGCTCACATGGACACTTCATGTTCATGCAAAGAAAGGGTTATGTATGTTGTGTGTGTGACAGAGAGTGCAGAGAGAACATTGGCAAAGGGGATTTGTTTGTCCTAGCATGGCTGTACAATTACTAATACAAAGGTTTACCCATTTAGACTCCATGGCATGGAGAAAAAAACTCATTTTAAATGACTCTAAGGATATAACAAGTTTTAGAAAATTGAAAGATTGATGGATTTTTGCCCACATGCGGTAAACATCTTAATTGAATTTTCTATGTGCAACATGAGGACAATAACCACAAGTGTACTCACAGTACCTTTTTTCTCTGGCACTGAAGTTGCAAGGTTTCAGCATGTTGTCCCTCTCTAAACCTTTCTGTTCCCCATTCTTCTTTCTCCAATAAGTGGTGCATCATTATTTTTCTATTAAATATGACATTGGGGAATAAAACGCTGTTGTTTTGTTGATAGTTCCATCCATTTATACATACTTCATCCTCCTGTCACGGAGTTCAAGCACTTAGAGAGTTGGGCGGGGAGCAAATATTATGCTCGTCACAATCATGTAAGTATGTATTTGAAGACAAAAACAAATGTTTGCTTCAGCATGCAGACTGTGCCAAGTAAAGCCATATTCCTCCAGTCTCTGTATTAATGCTAGCGCTGGGTGACCACACACACACACACACACACACACACACAACACACACACACACACACACACACACACACACACACACACACACACACACACACACACACACACACACACACACACACACACACACACACACACACACCACACACACACACACACACACACACACACACACACACACACACACACACACACACACACACACACACACACACACACACACACACACACACACACACACACACACACACACACACACACACACCAAATTTCAACTGATTGACAGATTATTTTTGGTCAATTTCTACCTTTATCTTCACCTAAATGCATTTTCTTGAATTCTGGCGATCTCAAAAGTATCATCAAATGATTGGGCATCCCTAATTTAGTTGGATATGACACCTTAAATGTTTTTCTACAATGTTTGGTTCCAAAATTAAGCGTGTTTGAACATTTGACCCGAGAGACTGGCGGCCATCTTGGATTTGACCTCTCACGGTCCTCACAGGTCAAATCTGACTTCCCTCCACATCTGAAAATAAACCTTATGGTATGCACTAACTATGTTAGAAATGTCATGCTTTTCTCATAAAATGCACAATTGTTGTGCTTATCCGCTGTACTATATGTTTCATCTTCACGTCAAATGCATATTTTCTACTTTTTAATTTCTATTTTGATATGTTTCAAATTTTTGAAATGTTTATTTCTACTCTTTTAATTTCTAATGATGTGCAATGCCTTGTTTTTTATGCTGCTGCAACGCAAACATTTCCCAATTTGGGATCAATAAAGTACATCTTATCTAATAGGAACCAAAAATACAGTTACGTTGAAGTTGCACTCAATTGCATTTTGATAAAGTGCCATTTTGAATACAACTTTTTTTTACAGGATTCCCTTCAACACATTAACTTCAATGAAAACATTTCTCTACTAAAATACTTTTTTATGGTGATTAATTGTCTCTGTTGTAATTTTCTGTCTCTTTGCAGCTGTTTTCCATCTAATTGTAGGACTCTTTAAAGTAAAGACACTACATACTGATATACAGTACACCTGAACATCAGCAGGAGAGAGCTCTTTAAAGTAGAGGGACTACGTACACCTGAACATCAGCAGGAGAGGACTCTTTAAAGTAGAGACACTACATACTAAAATACACCTAAACATCAGCAGGAGAGGACTCTTTAAAGTAGAGACACTACATACTGATATACAGTACACCTGAACATCAGCAGGAGAGGACTCTTTAAAGTAGAGACACTACATACTGAAATACACCTAAACATCAGCAGGAGAGGACTCTTTAAAGTAGAGACACTACATACTGATATACAGTACACCTGAACATCAGCAGGAGAGGACTCTTTAAAGTAGAGACACTACATACTGAAATACACCTAAACATCAGCAGGAGAGGACTCTTTAAAGTAGAGACACTACATACTGATATACTGTACACCTGGACATCAGCAGGAGAGGACTCTTTAAAGTAGAGACACTACATACTGAAATACACCTAAACATCAGCAGGAGAGGACTCTTTAAAGTAGAGACACTACATACTGATATACTGCACACCTGGACATCAGCAGGAGAGGACTCTTTAAAGTAGAGACACTACATACTGATATACAGTACACCTGAACATCAGCAGGAGAGGACTCTTTAAAGTAGAGACACTACATACTGAAATACACCTAAACATCAGCAGGAGAGGACTCTTTAAAGTAGAGACACTACATACTGATATACTGCACACCTGGACATCAGCAGGAGAGGACTCTTTAAAGTAGAGACACTACATACTGATATACACCTGAACATCAGCAGGAGAGGACTCTTTAAAGTAGAGACACTACATACTGATATACTGCACACCTGGACATCAGCAGGAGAGGACTCTTTAAAGTAGAGACACTACATACTGATATACACCTGAACATCAGCAGGAGAGGACTCTTTAAAGTAGAGACACTACATACTGATATACTGCACACCTGGACATCAGCAGGAGAGGACTCTTTAAAGTAGAGACACTACATACTGATATACAGTACACCTGAACATCAGCAGGAGAGGACTCTTTAAAGTAGAGACACTACATACTGATATACTGTACACCTGGACATCAGCAGAAATGTAAAAAAAAAAATCTACTTTTGCTGGTGCCGTTGCATTTAAAATCAAATAGTTGACTAAAACAAACTTGAAAGAAATCAAATACATAGTGTTGTTTTTTCATTTGTTTATATTTATTATGATAATTGTTGAATGTAAACAAGGTAATAAAGTAAGTACTGAAGTAGCTTTAAGTCAGTGTATTGATCAGGGCAGAGCCAGGTGAGCTAAAGTCACTCAATACAAAGGTAACTAGACAAAAACAGGAGGAACAAACGAGAAAGAATTCTAGTGTTGTTTTTAATTTGAATTTATTTGTATTGATTGTTATTATTAGTTGAATTCTCAGACTAAATCTCTGGTGACTTGAAATTAAAAGCAAGAAGCTAAACTTAGACAGGAGAAACAAACGTGAAATAAATCAAACGTGTCAGTATTGTTATCATTATTATTTTTTTATTGATTGACAAGACTTTAACTTAACAAGAAAACAATGGACTAAACATAAATATAGAAATGTACTATTAAGTAAATATGAAAAATAAAAGATACATATAAAAATTGACTATTAACTAAACATGATAAATATAACATAAATATAAAAATGAACTATTAAGTAAATATGAAAAATATAACTTAAATATGAAAATGAACACTATAAACCAAACATGACGATATAACATAAACCTGATAACTTGTAATGACTAAATGTTCCTCATATTTAGGGGTGCTAGAAGCAAAGGAATAGTTTATTTATTTTAAAATTAAGGTTGTTTTTTTGCCCCTAGTGGCTAAAACTGCACATCACTGTGAGTCTCTTCTGGAACCTTTGTTGATGTCTAACCAGATCTATTAACTGTTAAGTGTTTAAATATATATCCTGACTGGCTGTGAGTATATGTTGTTGCTCACTCACTTTGAGCTTTAGACTGTACTTGAAATGTTTTAATGTCTTACTAATTTTTGATGTTGTGAGTTTGTTTTTTAAAGTTTTTAAAGCCGATGTCAGGGCTGCCTTTGAGTCTTATGTTTTCCTTTTTAGTCATCGTTGATGTTTGGGCGGATACAAGAAAAGGAATTGATGAATCTTCTCCACCGTGGTGTTGTCCTCCTCTGCGTTGTTGGGATCGGCTCATTGGTTTGCTCAGGTGGATCCACCCTCACTTCCTGTTCCACCTCCAACTCCACCTCCACAAGCTCCTCCTTCACCACGCAGGGTGCCTTTGGTGGTTTTTTCAGCTGTTTCTTCAGCAAGGCCGCTATCTCTGCATCCTTTTCCTCAACACAACGTTCCTTCTTTTGTTCCAGTTCCTGGTTTCTATCATGCAAAGCAACTATCTCTGCATCCTTTTCCTCAACACAACGTTCCTTCTGTTGTTCCAGTTTGTGGTTTCTCTCATGCAAAGCAACTATCTCTGCATCCTTCTCCTCCACACAACGTTCCTTCTGTTGTTCCAGTTTGTGGTTTCTCTCATGCAAAGCAACTATCTCTGCATCCTTCTCCTCCACACAACGTTCCTTCTGTTGTTCCAGTTCGTGGTTTCTCTCATGCAAAGCGACTATCTCAAAATGTTTCACCTCAAGACAACACAACTTCTCTTGTTTGAGTTCCTGGTTTGTCTTTTGCAAGGCAGCCATCTCTGCATCCTTCTCCTCAACACAGGGTTCTTTCAGTTGTTTGAGATCCTGGTTTGCCTTTCTCAAGGTGGCCATCACTGCTTTGTCCTTCTCGTGCATCTTGAGGAGCTTTCCATATTTCATGTTCAGTTCCTCATTGTTTCCGCGCAATACTTTCTGCTCAATTTTCAGGGCATTCATTTTAACATCATGCCTCACTTCTGGTTCCACCTCCACTTTCACATCCTCCTTCTTGTCCACCTTCTCCTCAACACAACGCTCCTTCTCTTGCTTCAGTGTTTGGTTTTCCTTCAGCAAAGCAGCTATCTCTGCATCTTTCTCCTCAACGCAACGCAACTTTTGTTGTTTGAGTACCTGGTTTGTTGTTTGCAAGGCGGCCATCTTTGCCTCCTCCTTAACGCAACGCTCCTTCAGTTTTGTGAGTTCCTGGTTTCTCTCACGCAAATCAGCTATCTTTACAGCTTTGTCAACACAATGATCCTTTTGTTGTTGGAGTTCCTGGTTTCTCTCACGCAGAGCAGCTATCTCTACAGATTTCTCCTCAAGACAACGCTCCTTTTGTTGTTTGAGTTCTTGGTTAGTCTTTTGCAAGGCGGCCGTCTTTGCATCTTTCTCCTCAACACAACGCTCCTTCTCTTGTTTCAGTGTTTTGTTTTCCTTCAGCAAGGCAGCTATCTCTTTATCCTTCTCCTCCACACAACGCTGCTTCTGTTGTTGGAGTTCCTGATTTGTCTCACGCAAAGCAGCCATCTCTACACCTTGCTCCTCATCACAGGGTTCTTTCAGTTGTTTGAGTTCCTGGTTTGCCTTTCTCAAGGCAGCCATCTCGGCTTCGACCTTCTTGTGTGACCTCTGGAGGTTTCTGTATTTCATGTTCAGGTCCTCATTGTTGACGCGCAAGACGTTCTGCTCAATTTCCTGAGCTTTCACTTTCACATTGTGCTTAAACAGCAAAGCTGATTTCTCTGTATATGCTTTGAGCATCGCTTCCTTCTTTTTAGCGCCTTCAATCTCAAGCTTATCCCTTAAAGTCCTCTCCTGCTCCAGCCACAACTTAATTTCCTGATTTTCTTTTTGCAGAATCTCGAGCTTGACTGCCAGCTCATCTCTATTGTTCATCTCCATCTCTACTGCTGTGACGAAATGACCTGTTGTTTAGCAAACTAAATGTAATTGTTCGACTGAATTAACGTCACAAAAGTTCACTTGTGAAGATTATCTCGCTAAAAAACACTGCAAGTATCCCTAATGTTTGCTTGCAACAAAACCTATTTCTGCAATGATCTGACACTAGCTGGACAAATTCCTTCTGCTCTGTCCTGCAAACTCCTAGAATTCAGAATTCTACATAAAGGCAAAAAATGATGTCATAATTCTGAAGGTTCCATTCCAAATAAGGAGTGAAGGACATCAGCTGACAGGAAGTAAGAATGGAACCATGCTGTTGCCTAGCAACGCAATTGTGTTTAGATAATATAAAGAAATGTAAACAATCGAAATGCTTTATTAATTCCAATGGGAAGTAAGCAACATGTTCTATTATTAATAGTCAATATATAAAATGAGTCCTACCCCTTTGGTTAATCAATAACGATTGTCTGATATAAACGTTTTGAATTTAAGAAGGTATACCTTTCTCTGAGCCCCTCCCATGCGTGTAGATGCGTCCACAGCTTGGTAGGTGAGCCAGAGTCCAGAGTCTACATGCTGAACGTAACAAATGGAGTCTCCATACTTGATCTCTGGGATCCCCATGCCATCAACGTTAGTCTTTGCGCCAGCGTCAAGCTTCTCCTGTATGGGAACAGTGTTTCATGTTTCACAAACAGGTGTGTTTATCTGATAATAAACAGATCTAATACACAAATGACCTTCCTTTAACTCAGTGGTTCCCAACCTTTTTCAGTCAGGCCCCCCTTGTGTAATTGGAAATATTTTCGAGCCCCCCCTAATCCGGTTCCCACTGAGATTGGTAGAATTAATTGTATATAGTTGTACAAAAATTACATTTTCTCTGCTAATAATAACAAGACAAAAAGATCCAATTATAATTTTATATTTTATTATGGATTGAACATGAACAAAAGTGCTTGTAATGGCAGATGATCCTGTGCCACTGTGAAATAATGAGGCCTAATTGAAACAATTACAAATACTGCTTATCGATCCGGTTCTTTAACAGTATTTTTATAGGTTCTTTTTTTCTTTTTTTAGGGGAAAAACTAAACAAATTAGAAACAGAATTCACATTGATTCATTGTATGTTTAGTGTGGATTATGGGCTGCTAGCACACATTAAAATACCTGCAGTGGTGGTAGTAAGTAGATTTACTCCAGAACTGTACTTATTTTGAGGTACTTAAAGTGGACCTATCATGCTATATTTGAATAATATAGTGTAGGACCATACCTATATAAGGCATATTTATACTTTTTTTTTCTTCAAAATACCAAACAGATCATGCATTTTAGCCATGCCTCATTTTGCTCAATTTGACATTTTTTAGCTCTGTATTTGCAAGGGCAGATTCAGTGAGAACAGCACCACCTACAGGCCTGGCATATGTACTACAGCTTCTCCAGCGCTTTCGAACGGCAATGGCCGTGTCTGTCTCCTCCTGATTGGTGGAGTTGGCCCAATAGCCGTAGCGCTACTGTCCTGACGTCATTGAAGTGTTCAAATCTGGATCAGTTTTTATCAGATCCGTTGCAGCCTCTTTCTTAGAGATTTGGGTATGGAGGAAAATAGAGAGGGTTGTGTTTTCTGACACTTGGTGAGTTCCCTGGAACACCGGGGACACATATTCATGTATAAAAGACGTACAAAAGTGCATTTTGCATGATAGGTCCCCTTTAAGTATTTGCTTCTTTGTAATTCTGCTCCTCTACAGTCCAGAGGTAAATGGTGCACTTTTACTCCACTACATGTATTTAATACCTTTAGTTACTTTACAGATCTGGATGAATGATATGAAATATAATCAACTCTTAAATCAGACTTTCGTTACACCTGGAGTAAATTCACAAGCTACCCGGCAGTATAGTACTTTTACTTAAGTACTTGATCTGAGTACTTGTCCCACCTTACACGTAATTGGGGCAACAGAACTCAGAGTTAAGGATGTTGAAAACGGTGCATTTCTCCATATGAATATGATGCCTTTTGGCCAGCTGATGGACAGATTGATCGTGTTTCCGCGAAAATACTTATGGCAAACAAGCATTGACCACATCGAGCTCTGTAGATTAGATTGTCACTTTTGAACGCTATGTTCTAACGAACACGTTAGATGTCAAGGGAACTGCCGGTTGTGTTAAAAATGTGTCAATTTGATTGATTTTACGAGCAAACAATGTTTGTTTACAACTTCTTCACAAGCTTCAGGTGTCCCCCCTTCAATAGCGGGGAACCACTGCTTTAACTGGAGAATTGTGCCTTAATCGAAGGAGCGTTAAAAAAGTGTAGGCTCTTTTTTGTGTGACTCCTGACCTTTGATGATCGAAAGCAGAAAGAGGTCGTGTTGATGTCAGCTTTGTCTCGATCAACCAGATGCAGTCCCTTCTCCTCTGTTAGACCCAGGTAACGACCAGTGGTCACATGACGGAGCCGGAAAGGCTGCCCCCAGCATGTGTGCCTACCACTCCAACTTAGAAAAATCAAGAGCATTGCGGTTTTAGTAGGGCTGTACCAAATGTCAATTTTAAACATTTGAAGACTTGCTTTTAAGACATCATCAAACTAAATCCTAATGATTGAATACATTGGATTTCTGAGTTTTTAGGAAATCTAATATCAGTTTCCACAACATAAATACATGTAGGTACTGACTGAGCAGTTGCGCTCTCTCGGTGTGTGTGTGTGTGTGTGTGTGTGTGTGTGTGTGTGTGTGTGGCCGTCCCTTATAGATACTATCTCTTTACGTATTAGTGATGGGAATTCCGTCTCTTTCGGCTCCTAATGTTACCACAGTTTACCACGGAGCCTCAGTTTTGCCGCTGCGAGGCTCCGGCACACGCAGTTCACGCGCGTGCTCCACTGTGTGTGTGTGTGTGTGTGTGTGTGTGTGTGTGTGTGTGTGTGTGTGTGTGTGTGTGTGTGTGTGTGTGTGTGTGTGTGTGTGTGTGTGTGTGTGTGTGTGTGTGTGTGTGTGTGTGTGTGTGTGTGTGTGTGTGTGTGTGTGTGACAGTGAGAGGGGAATAGCAGGTGGAAGGCTGACTATTACACAGATTGTTTTGTGAATTTTAATGAGTCTGTCATCTGCCTGGCCATTACCGTGGGTCAATCTGTGATTCTCTCAACAAACAAATCTAAAGTCCAATTCAAATCTAATTCCACAAAGATATAATTATATTAGTGTAGCCTCCTTAGAACTGTGCAGAAATACCATGTTTAAACAGAACAAATAGACATGTAAATAAAAACTGCGCAGCAAGAAAAGATGGATTTGGAATTGGATTGTAAACATGATGAATGAAGTTTTAAATCGTCAAACAATTCAGTACATCCCTAGTTTTAAGTTGGGTTTGTTTTGCTTTGAAGGAACGTGAGCAGTCCAAATCATTTAGTTTTCCCTCTTTGGGAGCAGGCAGCGGACACACAGACTTAATTCCATTCTGGGCAAGTGATATAAAATATGCTTCCAGCCTTTGTGGGCGAAAAACTGCAGAAACAGAAAGAGATTCTGGGCCCAGCTTTGGCAGTGACCCGCAGCAGTGTGTGCAACATTATACTCCCATATGGTCTTAACAACAAACAACAAACAACTTCTGTACCTTTTTTTATCTGTAAATGAGACTGTAAAAACATTTTCAAAACATGATGGTGATTTCAACATGTTTAAAACCGTAGATCAAAAACAAAACAAAAGAAATGTGTGTGGCTGAATATTACTTCCTGCATATACTTACACAACACGCAGAATCTCCATCCTCCAGAGAGAGCGGGCATGGCTGGAGACTGATCCAATCTCATAATGCATTATCCTAAATTAAGAAAAAAAAAAAAAAAGACATGACCACAGAGGTAAAGGATGCTTTGTTTAGCTGACATTACAGACCACTGGTCATTTCATCTGACCTTTGCAGCTCCTCTCCCTGCTCAGTGGATGGAATAGTCAAACATGCGTCACTATGGCTGTGGAGAAGCCTCAGTGTGTCATCCCCCTTGAGGTAACCTAGAATTAGCACAACAGAAAACAGACGTAATTTTTGAACAGGCATTTCTTTGGCTATAACTGGTATCTAAACATGGGTCATTACTCCAAACTACTTGCAGGTATGTCTAATAATAATTGAAGGCAAAGTTGTTGAACTGAGTAATGACTGAACATCATACAATTCTTAATTTTAATCATCGCCATCGAAACATCAGGGGACTTTACGAGTCGCTGGACACAACAAAAGTTGGGTCTTGTCCTTTTAGAGACTAAACGTTTGTTTTTCCAATGAACTTGGAGAGCAAAGATAAAATGAAACTTGCCTTGAGCAACCCCACCTCCAGAGCAAATGGGGGCGACACTCCAGAGAGTTTGCTGGAAGGCTGCATTAACAATCAGGCTGTCACTCAAGCTTTTGTTGTCAACTGCAGTGCCAAAGGACAGGTGCTGGGAAGAAACAAAAATATGCTCATCAACAATGAATGCCACTTTTGATTTTGCTATTACAAAACCTGTTATCATGAACAATTATGCTAATCAACACACCAGAGGCAGAGAGAACTTAGATTGCAAACTACCAAAGAAATGCAATGGAAATTGACATGTAAATGGTTGGTTTCTCCTTCTGCAAAGCTCAGAAGAAAGAGGAGGAATAAAGTCGCTTGAACACACATTCAATGTCCACATTTAATTAGTAGTTTGCAAGCTCATCAAACAGGTTTGTGTGTTAGACAATGAAGCAGATTATTTGTCATCTAAGCATCGAAACCCCTACTGACTCACCAGATATCTCTCTGAAGAAACATTGACCAGGATGAGGTCATCTCCAACTCGCACTTTCTCACCCTCTGACCTCTGTCTGGACGCAGGGTGGACGGTCCACCAACATGCCTCACCTGAGCCACACATATGCAGTTTGGTTAAAAAAAAGAATAATCTCAAAATAAATAATAAAATTGTCATCATTACTTTCATTCTAAACAAATACATTGATCATATTTCTTTATTTTTGTTTCTTGTCTATCCACCCATCAAGCAAAGCAAATCCCTTATATGTGAAAACCTACTTGGCAATAAACTGGATTTGAATTCTTATCCGATTCAAAAAGTCCCAACAATAAATACCTGCTTTATCCTCTTGCAGACCAACATCAAAAGCCAGCTTGTCCGTTGAAGTGTGAGATGAAGACAAGCAGCTGAGATACTGGGAGTGAAATAAACAACAGATATATTTTACAGCGAACATATGAACAAATGGTTTTGAAAAAGCTAATAAAACTGTTGGCAAAGTAAGATGGACCCCTTCTGATTTATCGCTGCATTATATGAGGATGACTCACCATGCCACTATACGAGTGTAGGAACAACACTGCCTGGCCATATAGAAGGGTGCGATGGCTTCCTCCAGCTCCCACCTGTGGATCACATTATTGAACTCAGAGTTTGTGTAGTTTGAAAAGTGGATAAAAAAATATATAGAAACAAAGACTTAATAAAAATACAGAAACCGATCAATTTAAACACCCACCTCTGCAGCCAGATGCACACTGTGGGCCAGCATCTCCTGCAGGGCTCGCACAGAGAGGCACTGGGCCAGAACGAAGCCACACACAGACAGGTCGGGTGGAACATTCTGGAAGAAATAAAAAGACAGCAGAGCATGTGTCATTGAGGCAGCTTTATATCCAACCCTCCACAGGGCAAAACTCCTGTAAGCAGTGACAAGGACCACAGACATTAGGCAGTCTAAATCGGGTATAAAGAGGAAAATCTGGCACACAAGAGGACTTCAAATATTTAATGTGATTAGCTATTCATTTAGAGATGTTGAAAGACAGTTGTAGGTTAACAAATTGTGTTCCCAATGCTATTTTTTGAATGTTTGATTGACTTTATTAAATTAATCTTACTCTATTTTGCTAAAACAATATATATTATAAAACATTAGAGAATTATTTGCATCATGTTATGCATCTCTCTTCTATCATTCCATATTTTTAGGTGACAGTAATTGACAATTAGACCTCTTTGGGAATGTGAAAAGACTTTGAGATGGAGCTCTTTACCTTGCAATTAGAGGTGGGCTCAAGCCTGCAAAGTCGGCTGCCAAAGCCCTCTGCAGCAAGACAGAGTTTCACATGTTCCTCCTGGGAGGTGAAGGTACTCTGCAAAACCACCTCATCTCCCTGAGAAAAACACACAGAAAGAAGACAGCAGTAAGCACAATCTCAAAGGTATAAAAGAAAAAAAAGAAAGACAAAGGTAGATCAATAGAACAAATGCAAATTAAGATTCAAATGATTTGTTTGTGAAGGCCAAAGCTGATACAGATCAATTATAAACCCAGGAACAAAAAGATAATTCAAGCCCTCAAAAATGTAAGCTTTGAAGCAGCCTTTGATATATGAGACCCTACAGCTTACTGTAGTTTAATATTAATAGAAATATTTATTTGTGAACCAACATGCTCATCAAGGCAAGCATGAATATGGCTATTAGGAATCCTAACCCAAAAATAGCTAACAAATATCACAAAACCTGAGTTGTCATAGCGTGTTTACAAATGCACCAAAGAGTGAGTCCAGCCTTACTCTAAATGCTTTTACAGTATCTCTCAGCTAAATGTATCTTATCTTCATGTAAATGCCAAATTGACCATATCAGAGGAATCAGGCTTTTCACATCTATTTAAGGTACTGAAGAAAGGGACAACAGACGACTGCTATCCAAAATGCAGCCATGACAAGCAACACCTCTCCATAACCAGGGCTGCATACCTCCATATTGGGAAGACACTGCACGGTTTGACCCATGATTCACCCTGCTTTCCACTCTTCATATCAGCAGTACTCTGCAATCAGTCAAACACACTGTCCAGTGCTGAGAAGCTGTGGGGCATTCAGATGGCTAAAGCACTCGGCTCTTCTTCAAGGTACATTTCACAAGTGAAAATTCACTGCGCCACCAGACTTAATCCAAAAGTCAAAAGGCCTGACAATTGAAAAACCAAGTTCATAAAGCAGAAACACCTTGCTTCATATGAAGACCACCCCCATCAACATAAGGAAAGTAATACACTTACGACATAAAACGGTGACTTTCAAAGGAAAAAGCAAAGGTGCTATCTCACACATGTCATATATTTAACTAGTATGTCTAATAGAGACATTGAGCGTGGGGCATGATTTGTCAGGATCTGGGTGGCTAATTTAATTATGTATGACACAGATATCCACAATGTAATTTCATTTTGTGGATCGACCTTGCAAAATGACTTGTGGATACTGGGTCAGTAACCATCTGAATCACTGCCTGTGTGATGTTTCATATCCACAACAGACACTCTCCTTCCCTGTGACATGCCCTTATAAGATAACAAGCAGTGAAAGGACAACTTACAACCAGGGAGCATGATAGCATCTTGCAAACCATTTGTGATATTCTTTTTAAACTAAACTGATGAAGATAGTAATAATGCTGCTGGGAGCTGTGCAAAAAAACATTTTTTAATTAAATGTTGTTAATGTTACATTAATGTTATTTAAATATAAATCAAACATTATTTCAATACAACAACACTGTTAAAAACGTTGCCTTTAGAGGTGATTTTTGTATTAAACTAGCTCTGTTAATCTGTATTAAATAAGTAACTAACTAACGAGTAGACAATATTAAAATTGGGGTGATACAATATTGCAATACATTTTTCTGGAGCCATTTAGGTTGGGTTTTTTATTTGTATTAAGGTTTGCCAGAGTTAACGTTTTGCCTTCACAGAAATGTAAGGTAACTTAACTGGCAAACATTTTCAAATATTTGGACACTTTAATTAGAAGTTAACTTTATTATGTTTGTATCCTAAGACAATACTACACTCCTGAGTACTAGCAACATACACAATTAATAGTTATATAATTGTGAGTTAAGTGGTTTTACATTAAAAAAAATATAACACTTTAAGTCACTGGCTTCCTTTCAAAGAGCTTAGAAAATTAATAATTGTTGACATAGCTTGAGCTAGCTAATTAGCTTGTTAGCTAGTTTGCTAACCCACATATCATTCCTTTCTAGGTCCAACTTTTGCCAAAAAAATTCACTCTCACCGTTCGTAGAAAATGGAACTCTTCGTCGCCCTCTCCAGTGTCAGTCATTATTGGAACAAAACAAGCCACACAATACAGACTTGAGTATCATTAACTGAAGTGACGAGGACGAGAGGAGGAGGACTGGCAAAATAAGTAGTGAGAAGAAGGTGTTCATGTGAGGGCGGAGCCTGCCCCACTCCCGTGACGCCATTTTTCTTTTCTTTTTTTACAACTGCTATTTTGGCGGGAGGGCTTTGTCAAGTGAAGAAGGATGCAGTTCCAGGCCTGTAGTATCTATAGACGTCTATACTTCTACAATTATATTACCTGCAGAGTTGGGAGAAGTACTCAGATCTTGTACTTGTGTAAAAGTACAAGTACCAGGGTGTAGGAATACTCTGTAACAATTAAAAGACCTGCAATCAAAATGTTACTCAAGTAAAAGTACAAAAGTATTGGCATCAAAATACTACTTACTCATTATGCAGATCTGCCCATTTCAGATCATATGATTTGATTATAATTATGGATGCAATAATGTGTTTATCAAAGCTGGTAAAGGTGCAGCTAGCTCTTTTATTTACTTTGTATACTAGTTTGTGAATGTTACTCCAGGTTTAACTAGTCTTATTTAAGTGTTTTTATTTCACTTTATTAATCCAAGTCTGTAAAGTAACTAAAGATGCAAAATAAATGTAGTAGAGTAAACGTACACTATTTGCAACTGAATTGTAGTGGAGTAGAATTACTAAGTAGCAAAACATTGAAATACTAAAATAAAGTAGCCTACAAGTATCTCAACATTTTACTTAAGTACAGTAGGCTACTTGAATCAATGTACTTCGTTACTTTACACCTCTGACCTGCTAATTATGTGTGGTTAATATAACTTCTGGGGAATGTACATCCACTCATTTGGATAATACTCAACACCCGACTCAATATCCAAAAAGTGTTGTTGTTTTCAGTTTGAGTAGTAAACGACTTAAAGGGGACCTATCATGCAAAATGCACTTTTGTACGTCTTTTATACATGAATATGTGTCCCCGGTGTTCCAGGGAACTCACCAAGTGTCAGAAAACACAACCCTCTCTATTTTCCTCCATACTCAAATCTCTAAAAAAGGGGCTCCAACAGATCTGATAAAAACTGATCCAGATTTGAACACTGTCCTGCTACGGCTATTGGGCCAACTCCACCAATCAGGAGGAGACAGCCATGGCCATTGCCGTTCGAAAGCGCTGGAGACGCTGTAGTACATATGCCAGGCCAGTAGATGGTGCTGTTCTCACAGAATCAGCCCTTGCAAAAACAGAGCTAGAAATTGTCAAATTGAGCAAAATGAGGCATGGCTAAAATGCATGATCTGTTTGGTATTTTGAAAAAAAAAAAAGTATAAATATGCCTTATGGTCCTATACTATATTATTCAAATATAGCATGATAGGTCCACTTTAAAATACTGGTTTATAAAAAACAACCAAAATATAATACTCATTATTTAATGAGTAGCATTTGGCCTAGCACCATAAAATGGAAATACTCAAGTATTAATTTAAACTTTTTTTATTGGCCTGTGTTGAGTTGTAGGATATGTTAATTGTCTATTAGCTTTAAAACATTTTTTAAAACAGTACAAAGGAAACATCTCGGAAGTATTAGACAAAGTTACTCCGCTTCTATAGAGCAAAGTCTTGATTTCCTCCAGTCTGCCTTTGATGTTGTTCAAACCCATTTATATCAACTCAAGTTAGTATTAAATGCAGACAAATCCAAACTGATGATATTTTCAAATGGCAAAAAGTTACCTTCTATTCTACCCAAGATTTGTACTGTTCAAGGGACTGATATTGAAAGGGTCACTACTTACAAATATCTGGGTTTTATTATTGACCAGAACTTGTCTTTCAAGTTACACATGGCAAATGTTGTTTCAAAGCTAAAAATAAAATTAGGTTTCTTTCATAGAAACAAATCCTGTTTCTCAAGGAAACATTTGATCTCTGCAACGTTTTCCCTGTATTGGATTATAGTGATCTGCTTTATATGAATGCCTTTGACCAGTGTCTAAAGAGTTTGGATACTGTGTACCATTGTGCTTTACGTTTTATTACTGTGTACCATTGCACTTTATATGCTGCTGCTAATTGGCCATCTTTGTCTGCTCGCAGACTTTCCCATTGGTTGGGTTTTATTTATAAATCTCTGCTTGGGCTGGTTCCCTCTTACATTTGCACATGTATGTGTAAAAGAGAAAGTCTATATGGCCTGCGCTCCCAAGATTTTATTCAGATGCTGGGTAAAACAGCTTTTAAATATGCTGCCCCCACTGCTTGGAATAATGTACAGAAGGAGCTGAAACTATCAAATTGTATCACCTTTGGGGAATTCAGGTCCATCTTAAAGGACAGAGAACACGACACCATTGGTAGATGTGAGTGCTCCTATATCCAAAAGTCGTTTTAAATTTTTCCAGTTTTTAATGATTTTTAATAGTTTCTTTTATTTTGCATATTGACTGGCTAATGTGCCATTTTATCTGTGTTTTACAGCTGTATTTGTCTGCCTGTATTGCCTGTGTTTTATCTGTTGTAACTTTGTTCATGCTGCCCTTCTTGGCCAGGTCACTCTTGTAAAAGAGATTTTAATCTCAAAGAGTTCTTTACCTGGTTAGATAAAGGATATTATAAAGTGAAATGATTTGCCATTCAAATATTCATGGGGTTATTTTTGCTGGGTTTTAACAACCATTCATCATTTGCCCCAGAGACATTATCTGGTCATAGCTTCACTTGAATGATCCTTTATTCCATTGTGTATGTGTAAAACGAATAGATGGATTCTCGTAATTTTGGATATTAATGGTGCCCAGGGGGAATAATACTAATCTTGTGTATGGTAACCCCCCACTTGTACCTACTTAGCACACCATTAGAACAAAAGTTCAATTTGCTCACAAAATATATCTAAATCTAATGGGCTATAAATACAATAATACTCAATGAGGGTTTCATTATACCTAGAGGACCCAAGCCCATTTTGGTTACATGACATTTATTTTATACCATCCTGGCACCAACGTCCAACTTCCCTTGAAGATAATAATAGATTTATTGTCCTGACATTTCTGAGCAAATCCATGCTCCTCAGAAGATGCGATGTAAATCTCCATACTCTATACTTACCAAGTAAAATCCTAACCACTCCAGATGTAAATATACTGTAACTCACAGCATGAAAATGTCTAATTACTGACTTGATAATACTTTTGAATGCTTGTTTTTGTATTAAAATACCTTATTTGCTGTGGTAGATGCAGGTTTGAATAAGGCCTGTGATCCTTTTTTGCATCATCTACTCTATCTCCCCCTTTTAACACTTTCACGCTCCAGTTCAGGTGTGACAGCATGTTCCAGCCTTTTGGATTTGACTTTTAATATTTTCCAATATAGCGAAATTGCAGAATGAGAGACAAGGTATAACCTAAGATCATTCCATTAAAATGTACAGTTTGAATTAGACTCAAAATGTATTTATTTTATTTGTTCATTAAACCTTCACCCTCAAAGTTGAACTCACTGAATTTGTTGATAACAGAACCAGAACATTTCTTCAAGGAGTGCTGCCTGAGTATCTTTATTTTCTTACCAAATATAACAAATCAAAGCTTTAAAAATATCTCTCGGACACATGGATCAGTGGTGACTAAAGTTATGTTCATCTGTAACAGTAAAAGTATAAGTATACTTTTCTTTTAAAGAAGATTGCTTTCCCTAAATTAAGTGTGAGCTTCAGTGCTTGGGTTCAGTTTGTGTGAAGTGGCAAATGACCCTCTTCACAGAGAATTCCATCACTTTGATAACTTCCAAAGTATTTTAGAACCCTTCACAAATTGCCAATGGGTGTGAAATCAAACACACAAAATATTTGACTTAATCAACATGATATTTATAAGTAAGTTATTTGCTTAGTATCATACGTTATGAGCAATTCAATTACCAGAATATTTTTAAATAATTGCCATTGCTGTATATTTAAATACAGCATTTGTGCATGACTGTATGAAAATTATTTATGTAGCATTTCTTTATTTTAATCTCAAAAGGTATAGAATGTGATATGGAAATGTAACATGCAGCAAAATAGCTGTATAATATGGACAAACCAGGAATCAGCTGGTATATTTCTACCAGCAATAGTTCTTAAATTTGTCCACAAAGGATCATTGTGAAAAAACGTGCACACACATTACAGGCATACAACACAGCACAGCTTGCTAAATTTGCTTTTTAAGCCAAAACTTGTTTTCAAAAATGCTTACATTACTCTAGAGAAAGCTGGGGAAATACAGAAGAATGTCAGCTAAATGCCTTTGGCTGCATAGAAAAATGTCAACAAAGAGATCCAATAATTCATAAAAAGTGCGTTTGAGTAATCTTACACACATTTAAAATGTTTTGCCATGAGTGCTATACATTAGCCATGCCCCATTTGCCGGATAAAGCAAATATGCTCCTTTTTTCCAGCTCATAGAAAGAAAGAAAAAACATGACAGTGAACCTCTGCAGGCTTTAAATGAATACTACCAAATAAGGACCTGTGCGTCATTCAATCTTTATTTTCTTGTTTGTGTGTTGATTTTTGCAGTTTCTTTTACATTTCTTGGCACATGTAAGCATTTACATATTTGTTGTACCCTCAGAAAATGTTTCAATCCTAAAACACAATTCTCATGAATAATGCACATTTAATCACCTGCATTCTCTGCCTTTAAACCACTGAGCAATTGTAAACATTTACTTTTGCATTCTTGTGGTTTCCCACTTTTCCTTTGTTGATACTGTGTATTCTTAGACTTTTGGGAACCCATTTTGAACACTGTTTATTGTTGGATGGCAGGAGGTCTGAAATTGCTTTAGTAAACTGTAATTCACTTTAAAGCATCTCAAAACGCCCTATCAGAAGATTGTATTCCCAAAACAAAGGCACTGGGAGGAAACATTAAACACTACAAGACACTGCTAGTCGAATCAGGACATAAAGACGTCTATGTTCTTTCTAGTGATCTGTTTTATGATTGATTACATTTTCTCTTAATCACATAACCTTTTTTTTGCA